TTTTAAAGCCAACCTTAAAAAGTCCTCATTGATTTACTTTTGTCCTAATTAATGATGATAAACAAATAAATACTTTTACGCATACTTTGTTTTACTTTTGTGTGTTTTAACATAACTAAAATAAAGTTCAAAATAGTTCAAACTTTTTTTCGCAATAATTTGAATATGTTCAGGTTTAACCTTTTTTAAAAAGTTCCAACTGGAAGCTCTAACTCATTCTATTGCTTTGTTATTATTTTTCTGTTATTTTTTGTATTGTATAACAGTTTTTCTTGATTTTAAGAATATATTTAAAGGCATGAAACTTTAAGTTCTATCACAAAGTTGTATTTTTTCAAAAAATAAAACTCTATATATATTAATAATGATCAATTCTGTAAACAATTTACATTATATTGATCACTCTTAAACAAATAAAAGACTTTTTTTTTTTTTTTTTTTTATTTGCATTCGCTCCCAACAAGGCTGCAAGCAACCACTATTAAGTTGGGAGTTACTAGGAAAAAAAAGAACAGAGTTATAGAGCAAGGAAACGGTTGACAAAAGACTTGAAAAGTTGAAAGTTGTATGAGTCAGGAAAACATGAAGATGGGAGAGAGTTCCAAAGGATTGAAGTGCGGGGAAAAAAACTAGATGAATAAAAGTTTTTAGAGCATGCAGGGACAGATACAGTAAACGAATGAGACTTAGCTGAATGACGAGTAAAACGAGAATGAATTTTAGTTGATGGAACTAGAGATGATAACTCCTTTGAGCAGTGACCATGATAGTATTTGTAGAAAAGAGAAAGAGATGCAACTTTACGACGATGGGAAAGAGGTTCAAGCTTAGCAGATAGTCCAGGTCCAACAACGTTTACAATGCGTTTTTGGACTTTGTCAAGAAGAGAAAGTGAATCGTTAGAAGAACCAGCCCAAATATGACAACAGTATTCCATACAGGGACGAATAAGAGATTTGTAGAGGTAGAGAATGGAATCAGAAGTAAGGAAATGGCGAGCACGATAAAGAGAAGCAACCTTAGCAGAAGCTAATTTAGCAATCGATTGTATATATGGTTTCCATGAAAGGTCAGTAGTAAGGGATAATCCAAGAAGACGTAAAGAGGAGGACTCAGTAAGAGGATTGCCATTCATTAATATAGGAATGTTGACCATATTACGGTAGTTATTTGCAGTAAGCAACTGGGTTTTTTTAGAGTTGAAATTCACAAGCCACTGTGAACCCCAATCTATTACTGAAGTGAGATCAGATTCAAGATCAGCTGCTTGTTCTAGGCGATCAAAAAGAGAAGACTTTTTGTCAAGACAGGAGTATAAAGTTGAGTCATCAGCAAAAAGAGCTACTTTAGATGAAAGGTTGTCAGGAAGATCGTTTATGTAGATAAGAAACAAAACAGGGCCCAGGATGGAACCTTGGGGAACCCCAGAAGTTACTGGAAATAAAGAAGAGTGTTGGCCTTCAAGGATGACTTTAATAAACCGGTTAGAAAGAAATGATTTGATAATCTCAAAAACTTTCCCAGAAACACCATAAGAAGCAAGCTTATGGAGAAGACCACTTTGTATCTTAACTTGGTATATATATATATATATATATATATATATATATATATATATATATATACACACACATACAAACACTCAGGTCAGGTTATCCTGCTAGTGGTAACATGTAACCTAGTACAACCTGCTTCATATGCTTTTTAAGGCAAAGGCTAGGAGAAACCAACTCCGACTTAAAACATCCAATGCCTTGGGGCTTTTCGTTGAGTAAAGGCTAAGGATTGTCTCAGGCTTGAACAGAAATAGTGTACAATCACAGGCTGTAAATGATCACACTTAAAACTTTTTTTCTTTACAATTTGAGTTTGGCTGTTTTAATATCTTAACAATTTAAATGCAATAAAAAAAATCGTTATATAATGAATAACTTTTAATTGTTGATTATTTTTAAAGTTTTTATTTTAAAAAATGGCTTTAAATAAAATAAAAAAATGATTATAATGATCAGTTAAAATAAACACATTTTGTGCAAATTAAATCTTTTTTTTTCGTTTTTTTAAATAGGCATGTATTTTTTATGATAAATTTAAACGTTTAAAACTATTTTTTCAATCTTTTAAAAGATTATTTTTTTAAGTTACTTTAAACTAAATAATATAAATTAAAAGTTAAATTAAATCTTCCTATTGCAATGGAATTTTCTTTGCTTTATTTTTTTGTTTCTATTTTTACAAAAAATTGTTTAAAAGTTTTTTGTAAAACTTGACTTACTAATCAGAGAATAAAATGATTTGAAATAACTATTTAAAAAAGACTAGATCATTTTTTTAAACAATATTTAATTATTTTAAATTGTACAAACATTTTTTTTTACAACTTTTTGAAAAAAATGTTTATACAATTTAAAAACAATATATTTTTTTCTTTTCAATAATTTAGTTTCGCTTTTCAGTAATTTAAATAAAATTTATTTTAAATATTAATTTAAATATTATTTTCTTTTTACTTTAGTTTTTTGAAATTTCCTTCATAATTTAAGTTTAGTTTAGCATTTTTTATTTCAACTCATTTCTGAAATCAAAACAAAACAAATAAAACTAAACCTTAAAAATATATATAAATATACAGACGTGGTCAAGTAATCAACAAAAAAAATTGTTTGCATGGTCAGCAATAGCATTCAACTGCACGCCATTCCTATCCAAGGAATGGACATAATAATGCTCACCACACTGAATGGTCCAGTGTGATGTGCAGTTGGTGCAGGCATTAAGACCACAACTTTTGCCTTTCTCAATCTCTAACACAAATAGTCAACTTTCCAACTTGTTTTCCAGACAATTTGAATCATTTACTTTCTCTAATCAACTTATGTTTTGTTTCTAATCCTAATCAGTGCTCAGTTTCTCCACATTCACACTTAGGTGCTTCTGATCACTGTTTGATCTCTCTTCATCATCACAATCCCCCTATCATTGTACCTCTTGCAACCTTAAAGCTGACTGAGATTCTTCCATGATATTCTTTGTGATGCCCCTTGGGTAGAAATCTTTTGCCTTACTGCTGACAAATGTGCTTCTTACATACCTTCTTGTATCCAGACTAGCATAGAATCCTTTATTCCATTTTGAAAATTCTAGCCTCACTCTTTTCCATGGTTTTCCTCTAATTGTGCTGCTGCAATTTCCAATTGTAACCATTACTTTCATATTTATCAGCAAAGCAATTCACAATATAAGATTTTTGTTTACTACTGTCAGAAACCATTGAAAAAAGGTTGTCTAACACCATAGCCTGCTATTCTTAGGTTATGAAATCTCATATTTTATCTCAAAAAATAGGCTCCAGAGACTACTGGAGAACCTTTAAAAGAATCTATAATAAGGCAAATCTGTTATTCTACCTCTCTTATATAGTTCAGATTTTGTCACCTAACCTAAAGACAAAGTTGAATTGTTTGCTAAGAACTTTTAATCAATCTCACCTCTTGATTCCACTAATCACATCCTACTTGATATAGCCAACAAACAGGTTGATCAATTGCTTGACATTCTTATCATTCCAGTTTCTGTATCTTAAGTGATTTCCTGACTAGACTTTTCTACAGCTTGTGGTCCAGATAACATACCTGTCATAGACTTGCAGAAGTGTTCTCCAGAGCTGTCGACTATACTTTCAAAACTATTTAACAAATGCATATCAGAACCTTGTTTTCCAGCCTGCTGGAAAGCGGCATCTGTTATCCCTATTTTTAAAAATTCTGGCGATCTGACTTGTCTAACTACTGTCCCATTAATTTTAATAAAATTCTTACTATCATAAGCAAGGTTTTTAAATCTTTAATTAAAAAAACACTTAATCTCTTATCTTGAATCTAATAACTTACTTTTAGATCATCAATATGGATTTCGATCTTCTCGTTCTACTGCTTATTTGTTATTGGCAATAACTGATAGGTTTTATCATGCATTATATAGATGTGGAGAGCATTGTTCACTGATGACACTACCATTTATTATTGTTTTGATAAGAAGCCAATACTCTCTGATGACAAGGTGCAAAAACACATTGTAAACATAGCTGGACCTGCTCTTGCAACCAATCTTCAACCATTATCACATTGTCATAATGTTGCTTCTCTTTCTCTTTTCTTTAAATACTATAGCAGGCACTGCTCTAAAGAGCTAGTGCCACATGTGCTATCTACTAAAATACATTCTTGTGTTAACTGCCATTTAATTAAGCAAGGCTGTGGAGTTAGAGTTGCGGAATTAAGACATTTTCAGTGGAGTTGGAGTTGCTAAACAAAATCACAACTCCGGCTCCAATAGTAAAACTTCTTGGTATTGCATGTGCAAAACATTCAATTAACCTTATATTCATACTAAACCTCAAAGAAAGATTCATAAATTTGTCAAAAAAGAAATTTTTATATTATCCCATAATATTTTTTTAAGAATTTAAAGAATTTTTCAAAAATATTGCTTTGGAGTTGGAATCGGAGTTGGAGTTGGAATCAGAGTCGGAGTTGTGCTCAAAAAATTTCAACAACTGGAGTCAGAGTCGTTACTTTTTTTCTACAACTCCACACCCCTGCAATGAAGTCTCATCCTTTTACTGTGACTGTGTCTAAGTGCCCCAAAAATTTCTTATTCATCTACTTCTTTCCTCAAACATCAGTTTTTTGGAATTTGCTTCCTTCATCGTGTTTTCTTGATTCAAATAATTTGCAATCTTTCAAGTCATCCTCTTTCAACACTAATAGTGGTTGCTTGCAGTCTTTTTGGAAGTGAAGATGTTGAATAAAAACAAAAAAACAAAAACAAAAAAACAAAAAACAAAAAAAAACATACATACATACATACATACATACATACATACATACATACATACATATACACCAACATAATCTCTAATTTATATGTTAAAATGAAAATCATAATTTAACTATGAATAAAATTGGGAACATTCCAAAACTTTAGAAAAAAAATCGTACTTATTTTTATCGTCAGAAACAAAAAACATCTTTCCATCATCTGTATCGCTATCTTCATTATCTGATAGTGGTTCATTTATCCATTTGTCAAGATCCAAACTAAAAAGATTTTAATTTTGATTAAATCATGTTTAGAATTAAATCATGTTTAGAATTAAGGGTCATTGTCAAATCATCCAAAAATATCAAAAAATGTCACCCCATGTTTGGGATTTTACTAATTTTTTTATATTTTATAGGGTTTATGAAAATTAGGAAAATCTGAAACTTGGAACCTCCAACTCCTTTTGGTTTTTGAGATATTCAGGTTTCAATTTTCATATTTATGCTGACAGCATTTTTTTCAAAATGCATTTTTATCATTAAATAGCAATATTTTATGGACAAAATGAGATAGCATTCTGAAATTTGCTACATAGACTATCTTCCATATGGCGGATACAAATGTCAAATGAAAAATTTTTTAGACCACCTTATGTACATGTAAATTAAATAATAATGGCATTTATTTTGGGGTATTTTGACGGTCAAAATAGTGATGTCACCTTGAAATTTTTTTTTAAGGCATTACTAAAACTTACAATATAGATATCAAACATCGCTATTAATTAAAAATATATTATTGCATTTTTTGACTTTTCTATATACAGCCTTTTAAGTAAAGCTGTTTCTAAATACATCCTTTCAAGTAATATAAATGCTGAGTCAGCATAAAATTTATTGCTAACTTATTTATGAAAAAATTAGCTATATCCTAATTTCATGTTGTAAAAAGTTATTTTTCAAGTAATTTTGAGGACAATAATAAATGTATACTTTATTTCTAAATTTTTGGTACCTGGGGTAGGCTTCCCCCCCCCTTACAAAAAAAATATTTAATATGTTCTTAATTTTGTAAAAAGTTATTTTTAACGTCATTTTGAGGGCAATGATAAATGTATACTTTATTCTAAATTTTTGGTACCTGGGTATACATCTCTCCTGCCTTCCCAGAAAAAAAATTAATATTTTTTTAATTTTGTTATGCCAATAAAATTAAGATCAATCTTTTTATATTTTACAAAACAATTGCTTTGTTAAAATTTTCCATCAAGCTTTTGGAGACCTTAGAGCAATAATTAGAAATAATAAATTTATTTATTAAAGCTAATTTGTTCATAAAAGACATTTTTTTAATTTTAAAAACTTTATTAGGCTGTAATCCAAATGCTGTAACATTTTTTTTGTCTTTTATAAATAATGCCTTTTAATTCCTCATTATTATTTTATTGCTTCTGTTTAGATTTCATGTTGTAAATATTAGTTTCCTGTTACTTTTGTTTAGATTTCATGTAGTAAATATTAGTTTCCTGTTACTACAATTCCAAAGTATTTTCTATGATAATAGCAAACTGTTTACAACAGTTTGCTATTATCATAGAAAATACTTTGGAATTGCATTTGAAAGAAAATTTCAGAAATGCTGTAATCTATTTAAAAAACATGGAAATTTAAAGGAACTTTATGTAGCATTTAAATCCAAACATTCTAATTTAAACGTCAGATTTTTTAAGTTTTGCAGCCTTCACCCAAGATGGTGTATAACCACAAACTTGTCTGGCACCCACAGGGTTTGTGTCTGCACCTATCTTTAGAATGTTAGGTTTTTAACTGATGCTCTTAAAATTGACAAAGACTATAGAGATTTGACGGAAATGATTGTTTGCAATAGGGATAATGTTGAGTGCATGTTACATAGATGTCCATTAAGTCCTGATATTACTGTTTTAAAAGAATTCTTAACAGCAAAGTTTGACAACAGTGATAAAGAAATAACAATTAACTAATAGCAACATACAGATAGAACTACACTGATTAATCAAAAAATCAATATTGAAGATGTTATTGACCTTATCTGCAATAAAATAGATAAATTAACATCTCATTTAATTATGGCTAAAAGCCAAGCCAAGTACCTTAAAGACTGTAAAGAGTTATTAAATCAAAATGAGTATATAGTATGACTTTGCAGAGAACTTTTAATTTATTGTTCAGGATGAGGTGCAAAGTTACCACTGGAATAAACCAAAATGTACACTTCACCCTATTATTATATACTATAAATCAAATGATAAACTGATATTTAAGTCATTTTGCTTCCTTCTGATGACACTAAGCAAGATGTATACTTTGTATATAAAATACAAAAGCTCATTACCAATTTCATTAAGGCAAACATTCTACAAATTAGTAATCTTAAATACTTCACTGATGGATGTGCAGCACAATATAAAAACTTTAAAAACTTTATTAATCAATGCCATGACAAGACCAAAACAAGTCGGACCAAAATAAGTCTGTTTGTGATGGGATTGGCGGCACAGTAAAACAAACAACTGCACAAGCTAGTTTAAAAAGAACAGTGACTGGACAGATTTTAGATGTAGATAAGATAACAAACACTTAATCTCTTATCTTGAATTTAATAACTTACTTTCTGATCATCAATATGGATTTCGATCTTCTCATTCTATGGCTGATTTACTAACAGTAATAACCGATAGGTTTTATCGTGCATTAGATAAAGGTGGAGAGGTTAAGACCATTGCTCTTGACATTTCTAAAATAATTGATAAAGTTTGGCATGCTGGTCTTCTCCATAAGCTATTAACTTACGGTGTATCTGGAAACATCCTTAAGATTATTGAATCCTTTCTCTCCAATCGTAGTATAAAAGTTGTCCTAGATGAACAGCACTCTTATTCTGTAACCTCAGGGGTTCCTCAAGGTTCAATCCTTGGCCCTATACTCTTTTTAATTTACATTAACAACCTTCCAGATATTCCCTTATCTAAGGTGGCATTGTTTGCTGATGATACTACCATTTATTCTTGTCATGATAAGAAGCCAACTCCCTCTGATTGCTTGGAGGGGGCATTTGAGCTTGAAAAGGATCTCACTTCTGTTACAGCATGGGACTCACAGTGGCTGGTGAACTTTAATTCAGAAAAAAAAAATTTCAGACAATCGTTATCGCAATAATTTAGATCTTCCTATATTTATGAACGGTAATGTGCTCGATGAGTCATCTAACCTTCATCTTCTAGGATTAACTCTTACTTCTGATCTTTCTTGGAAACCTTATATCAAATCCGTTGCAAAATTAGCATCTGCTAAAGTTGCATCTCTTTATCGAGCTCAACACTTTCTCACTCTGGATTCTAATCTCTATCTCTATAAATCTCAAATCCAGCCTTGTATGGAATACTGTTGCCATATCTGGGGTGAATCTTCTAATGATGCCCTTTCTCTTTTAGACAAGGTGCAAAAACGCATTGTAAACATAGTTGGACCTGCTCTTGCAACCAACCTTCAACCGCTGTCACATTGTCGCAATGTTACTTCTCTTTCTCTTTTCTACAAATACTATAACAGGTACTGCTCTAAAGAGCTAGCGTCTCTTGTGCCATCTACTAAAATTCATTCTTGTACTATTCGTCATTCAAGTCTCATCCTTTTTCTGTTACTGTTCGTAAGTGCTCCAAAAACTCTTATTTGTCTAGTTTTTCCCCTCAAATATCAGTTTTTTGGAATTCACTTTCTTCATTTTGCTTTCCTGATTCATATAATTTGCAATATTTTAAGTCATGTGTCAATCATTATCTTGCTCTACAATCTTCATCTTTTCTCTTCCAGTAACTTCCAACACTAATTAGTGGTTGCTTGCAGCCTTGTTAGAAGCAAAGATGTTAAAAAAAAAAAAAAAAATTATAAAACAGAAATAAACGAAGTACAATCATCAACCAAGGTTTACTATGGGAAGAATCTTGCCAAAAACAAGATGCTTTCACCATTTTATACCAATTGATAAATATACAATTTCTTTTAAAAGGATGAGTCAACAAACTGATGTTCAGACATTTAACCTTGTGCAGATACCAAATGAGCTGGTTGTGCACCAGGTTATTTATAACCATATGGACTATGTAGCTTGCTATATCCATATGTAAGTATGATAGCTTTTGGTGGATTGGAATTATAAACAAAAAAGATGAAGGAGATTATAAAATTCAATTTATGCGTCCACATGGTCCCAGTCCAAGTTTTTCTTGGCCTGCACGAGAAGATATATGTTGGGTCCCATCAAATCATAATTTATGCCATCTACAACAAATGGACGTGTATACAAAAATTCAGAAATTGAGTTAGCAAAAATTATTGAACAAAATAACCAAGATTTTTAAAAAAAATTTCAATTGTGTCATTATTTATACTTGTATGTTATTTTTTTAAATATAGTATGTGTAATTAGCACAACTTGGCCACACAAATAAAATTCTCCTGGTAACTTGTCTTTATATGTTTTAAGAAAAAAAAAAGTGGGGGATTTAGTAATATGCATAATTGCAATTCCCCCTCCCCAACCCAACCAAGCTGGCCTCCAAAAGCTTGATGGAAAAAAAATTTTAACAAAATAATCTTTATTTTATTGGCATAACAAAATTACAAAAGTAATTTTTTTTTCTGGGAGGGCAGGGGGGGGATGCCTACCCAGGTACCAAAAATTTAGAAATAAATATACATTTATCATTGCCCTCAAAATGACTTCAAAAATATTTTTTTACAAAATTAGCTAAATATTAATTTTTTTGTGTAAAGGGCAGGGAGGGGAAGCCTACCCCAGGTACCAAAAATTTAGAAATAAAGTATACATTTATTATTGCCCTCAAAATGACTTTAAAATAGCTTTTTACAACATGAAATTAAGATTTAGCTAATTTTTTCATAAATAAGTTAGCAATAAATTTTATGCTGACTCAGCATTTATAAGCTATACTTAAAAGTATACTTTTAAGTGAAGCTTATATATAAGCTTCACTTAAAAAGCTGTATTTAGAAAAGTCAAAAAATGCAATAATATATTTTTAATTAATAGTGATGTTTGATACCCAAGGCCTATTCTAGGAAAAAAATTTGGGCAGCAGTACCAAATGTCAGGGGGGTAGTACAGCTGCCCAAATTTTTTAACCGTTTTTTCGCGATATTTGCTGTAAAAACGAAAAAACAAACGTATTTTGACCGTCAAAATACCCAAAAATAAATGCCATTATTATTTAATTTACATGTACATAAAGTGGTCTAAAATTTTTTTTCATTTGATATTTGTATCTGCCATATGGAAGATAGTCTATGTAGCAAATTTCAGAATGCTATCTCATTTTGTCCATAAAATATTGCTATTTAATGACAAAAATGCATTTTGCAAAAAATGCTGAGTCAGCATAAATATGAAAATTGAAACCTGAATATCTCAAGAACCGTTGTTGGAGGTTAAAAAATTAGCAAAATCCCAAACATGGAGTGACATGACCCAAATGATTTGACATGGAATTACCCTTAAGTCAATGTAAGGTTTAAGACCTAAACTTTAATTAATCAAAACTACAACTAAATTGGCAATTAGAATAAACCATGTTTAAAGAAATAATTAATTTAAAATGCTTGCATAAACTGAAATAATAACTAAAAGAAATTAAATTTGAAAATAAAAGTTTTAAAATAGGTAAGAATATAATAAAAACCAAAAATAATAAAGATCTGGCCCTAAGAGACGAAATATACTCGTAATTTGTGATTCTCTGTCGCTCAAGTGAAAAATAGTTATAAAAAAAAGACAACAATTAATAATCTAATAATATTTATTTGCTAAAATAAATTCTCTGAAGACATAAGTAAAAATATTATTTATCAGACTCTTTTGCCTCGTTGATCAAATTGCCAGGCCTATTTCGAATAGCTATTTTGAGACATCAACATTAAAATTAAAAATATCCTTGGTCAGGTTTTTTGAAAGATTCAGAAACGCTTCTAAAAATAATAAACTTTTGTTATAAAATTTTATTAATTTTAGAAATAAGTTGAGGTAATATAATATAAGCTAATAATTTTTTTTTTTTTCAAAAAAAAATTATTAGCCTATATTAAGTAAGGTAAGGCTTGTGGTAACTTTTATTCACATTGCACTGATTGATATTTTTTGTTGTTGCAAAAGCCCTATTTTCATAAAAAAAGAGAATTTCAATGAAAAATTAGGAATAGTCAGAGAATTCAGTATTTAATAAATTTAGTAAATTTTACTAATTGTACAATAAAGATGTGTTTGTGTCTGTATGTACGTACATGTGTGTACATAAAGTTAATTATCAAGTTTAATGAAAATCACCACATAAAAAAGCTTAATATCTCCTACTTCTGTTTTTTAAATATATTTTGCGTTGCATAATTTATGGACGATCCCTACGGATCTAGGTTATATTTAATAAAAAAAAAATTTTTTTGTTAACAAAACTAAACTTTACTACCTATTGCAAAAAACATTATTATTGCACAAAACTTATCATATTTTACTTTTATTATGTTATTTTTAATACATTATTTTCGTTATTGTATAATTTGAAAACATTACCCTTCTGGTATAGGAACTTTTTTTTGTGCTTTCGCAGCAACAGGAAGCAACTCTTCTGAAAACAATGATCTGACTTCCTGAGCACAAGAAACACCTGAAATATGGACAATCACACGTATATATATATATATATATATACATACATATATATACATATATATACATATATATACATATATATATATATATATATACATATATATACATATATATATATATACATATATATATATATATATGTGTGTGTGTGTATATATATATATATATATATATATATATATATATATATATATATATACATATATATATATACATACATATATATATATATATATATATATATATATATATATATATATATATATATACATATATATATATATATATACATATATATATATATATATATATATATATATATATATATATATATATATGTGTGTGTGTATATATATATATATATACATATATATATATATATATATACATATATATATATATACATATATATATATATGTATATATATATATACATATATATATATATACATATATATATATATATATATATATGTATATATATATATACATATATATACATATATATATACATATACATATATATATATAATATATATACATATATATATATATATATATATATATATATATATATATATATATATATATATATATATATATATATATATACATATATATATATATATATATATATATATATATATATATATATATATATATATATATATATATATATATATATATATATATATATATATATATATTAGTCTTCTTAATTTGCCAGTGCTTTTGCACTCAAGCCTTTTTTGCTTTCTCCCAAACGCTAGCAAAAACATTGGCAAATGCATAAAAAAGCACTTGCTAAAAGAGACTTATGATTTGTGTCTTCCCATAGAGGTAGTTATATCTAAAATCCAAAATTACTTTAAAAGTAGTTCAAATATTATTATTAAACACAGTTTTAATAACACAAAATGATGTTCAAACTAGACTTCAAGCACTTGATAAGTCAAAATCAGTCGGTTTTGATTTTGTTCATCCATATGTTTTAAAAGAATGCAGCTCGTCAATATCATACCCATTATATTTAATTTTCAAAAAATTGATGGAAACAGGTACCCTACCAGATATGTGGAAGAAGGCAAATTTTCTTCTTTTTTTAAAAAGTAATGCTATAAATAAACTTGACGAATGGTCAACAAAATGGAAATTAGGATTAAATTTTGAAAAATGTAAAATTATGCACTTTAGTTCAAAAAATAATGAATGTTCATATTTTATGAACAATAACAACACATTAATGGAAATTGAAAAGTCAAAACTAGACATTGGTGTTTATATATCAAGTGATTTAAAATGGGCCAAACAAGTAAAATATGCAGCTAGTAAAGCAAATAGTATGCTCTCACTACTAAATAACACATTCAAGTACAAGGATAAAGATATAATAAAAACACTGTATTGTACATATGTTAGACCAAATTTAGTGTTTTCAATTCAAGCATGGAGTCCGTACTATACAAAAGATATTAATGAACTAGAAAAAGTCCAACAAAGAGCTACCAAAATAATACCGGAGCTAAGACATCTTGAGTATGAAAAAAGATTGGAAATTTTGGGGTTGACTACTTTGGAGACTAGAAGGCTAAGGTGCGACTTGATCCAGCAATTCAAAATATTTAAAGGTATTGAAATCATTGATATTAAACAAAATCAAACAATGAACTCTATTTGCTTATCAGGTCCTGCAGCTAACATTAGAGGAGCAAAACATCGAATGAAACCTGAATTGGTCAGAAATTGTTTGAAAAGGCAATATTTTTTCAGCAATAGAGTTGTTGATGGATGGAATAGTCTACCAGCTGAAGTTGTTTAATCTACTACAGTTAAAAGCTTCAAATTAAACTTGCAATCGGTTGACTTAGAAGCAATAACAAACAAGATAAAAACCAAAAAAGCTTATTATTAACATTTTTATTATTTAGTGACTGAACTAACTTGTTCATTAATTAATTTATACCGGCTGTCATAGATATTGCCTGGCGCTTTATCTCAACAGCATTAATTATTATTATTATTATTAAAAAAACAAAAGCGATTTTTTTTTTTTAAATTGCAACAAATCTTTCTTCGTTCATATAATACTTTTTTTAATTATTATTATTTTAAACTATATAAAACGTTTTTAATTATTATTTTTTTTATCATTTTTGTTTTAACTATTTTATCTTGAATTTAAATAAATCATTTACTTGGTCATTTTTTTTAAATTAATACATTTAGAATTTATTCAAAGCATTCTTTTCGCTGTTTTTATTTTAATTTAAATAGCAAATAAAGATGATGTATATACATATATACATTAGGGTTGGTCGATTTTGGTATGTAAGTACTGCTAAACAATATAAAATTTTTTGCAGAACTTCGATGGAAGTTAATGGATTTGCAAATTTTGTAAATTACTTTTCGATATTTCTTGAAGTTTATTTTTCTTTATTTTATAAAGCACACATGTTTGTAAACAATATTTAACTTTGTAGTTTTGTAGTCTTTAGTAAAGTCTCTTTACTGCTTTTAACATTAACATTGCTTTTAAAACTCAAAAATTCAAATTTATAAGCGGCTAATAAATATTTCTTAAAATGAACTTTTTAATTCGCCTGAGTCTATACAACTAGATTTACCGGCTTAAGTGGTTTATGTTTTTTAATTGTTACTTTTGTAGAATGATATAATGTAGTTAAAGTAGATTAAAATAAACAATAAGCAATAATAATAAGTAAATTTTACTAATTGTACAACAAGAATTTTTATTTTGTGCAAAATGTAAATAGTTTAGTACTTTAACAAAGTGTTTTATTGCAACTTTGGTGTCTTGTAATAATATTATGAACAAAATATTTAGTTATAGAAAATAAAAAATGCCAAAAAAAAAAGGAAAAGAAAAAGACATCTTACGCAATCGAAAAGTGAAGAAAATTACAGAGGTTGCCCTTGTGATTATTTACAACAGATCCAAGCCCATACAGACAATTGATTAAATTTTATTGCTTCCTATATTGTTCTGATATTAGGCCAAACTTTAGGGCAATTGTTAAGCGTGTTTCATATGTTTTTAAATCTATATGGTTATCTGTCAATTCATGATTGCCTTTAATAAACCATAAGTCTATTGAAACAAAATCTATTTGCAACTGTAAAAAACATAAACAGTAAACATGCAAAAAGCAAATGTCAAACAAAGCCTTGATTTCTAAACTTGATAAATTTTTTCACATATCTTCTTGTTGTTCTTTAGATTTTGTGTTGTGTAATAATGCTTATGTAAAGTGCAAAAAAGAAAAATGCAAAATGGAACAAATTATTTGCATATGTCCTAAAGAACCAAAGGCCCCAATTAAAAAAAGAGCTTATATATGAGACTAGCATTTAAAAACAGGACCAAAAGGGTAGTAGAACAGAAAAAATTTCAGATGTCTTCAGTAGATACATCTGCTTTAAAACACAACAAAAGAATTAAATAGAAGGAAGAAAATACATCACACCACAAACATATTAGTAATGAGCTCTCAAGCTCACTACCAGAACCCCCAGAATGTATATCTGAAATTGTAAATCTTCAGGTATTTTTATTTGTTTGGTGTAAATAGTGTTTTAGTATATATCTAATACTTATTAATAATAAAATCACTTATTATAAATTTTTTAATTAAAAGGACCATTAACTGCCAAGACAAGTTGTGTTGATAATAAAGAAAATGTTTAAAAAAATATTAGGACTAAATTTTTTTGATTAAAACTTTATAATGAATGCACACCATTAAATTTAAAATTCATGTTTTAGTCAAAGCTCGCCCTTTCCATTTTTTTTGGTTCTCAGAGTCTGTATAATGTTAGCTGCAATCTGCAGACTTGATAATTTATTCCATGCGTGTTTAATTCATAACAGTTTTGGTACATGACGTCATTAAATTTTTTCTTTCAAGATGTCGTATTATTTTTTTGCCAAAATCACCAAATCATGCTAATTGTATAACTTTTTACTAAATCCCAAAAAAAAAATTTATGATGCAATTAAAAATTAAATTTATAAAATTTATAAAAATAAAAATTTAATATATAACAAATATTTACAGTAAACGTAGTGGTTTAAACTAAATATAAACTAGATACTAAAAGAATAATTTTACAAAAGCGTATAAATTAATTTAAAGCATAAACTGAAAAAAAAAACGAGTGACTTGAACAAAATATACAAACTGAACTAAAAAGAAAATAAATATTAAACAACTTATTTTACTAATAACTGTTCAAATATACAAGAAATAGTTATAATATAAATATAAAAACAAAGAATCGCATTAAATTGTTAGCTACCAGCCGAACAAAAATCTTTTTGTAGCAACTGCATATTTTTTTGAATAACAATGCGGTAGTGGTGTAGTGGTAGAGCGCTCGCTTCATAAACGAGTGGTTCCGAGTTCAATCCCCACCACGTCCCTGGTAGTACCGCGCTCAACTCGTTTCTCCGTGCAGTGGCCCTGTTCGTCAAGGTTCGTGTTTCGGAGTTACAGAGTTGAGAGAGGGTTATAGCCACAAAATAAGTAGCCTCCTTGTCTGTAGTGGCCTTCTCGGCCTTGAGGAGGTGAAGTAAAATAAATTAAAAAAAAAAACAATTTTCAAGATTTTTTAACTTTTTTACAATTACACAATTAGCTCTTATTTTTTCCCGATTACGCAGAGACCCAATTAAACCTTTAGAACAAACAAATTCTATGTGTCTAGAATGGAAATTTATAAAACTAAATATAAAACGGAAAACGGCATCATACTGCCTTTATTTTTTCTCTGTCTGCAAACTCTAATAATAACAAAGTATGTATAATTGTGTCATGATTTTGGCTGGCTTCTATAACAAAGTAATAATATTTTTATTAACACTTAAAGTAATAATATTTTTATTAACAAGTAAAAAAAAATTATAAATATAAATATAGATTAATAAAAATAAAAGAACATGTTTTTAAATAGATTTTATTTATTTTAGCGTAAAATATGAATCACAAAGTTTTCAGCCCCAAACCAAAGGAACTTAGGTTGTTTTTTTTATTGTCAAAAAAATATTCGACCAAACATATTTTTTGTTTCATAATAAATTATTAAATAACAAAACAATTATTTTAATACTTTGTAGGGCCTCCCTTTGCTTGGATTACAGCTTCTAGACGTCTAGGCATGGATTCGACTAAAGATTTTGTTTCTTCTGGTTGAATCTTTTCCAAGGCTTCTTTAATTGCCACTTTGAGGTTATCTTTTTTGGAAAATGACAGATCTCCAATTTTTCGGTCTAAAACTTCCCACAAATGTTCAATGGGATTAAGGTCTGGTGATTGTGTGGGCCATTCCAAGACCTAAACATTATTTTCAGCAAACCACTCTTTGGTTTTAGTGGTACTATGCTTGGGATCGTTATCTTGATGAAATGTAAAATCAGATCTTAGCCAAAGTTTTCGAGCAGATGACTTCAAATTTTGCTTTAAAATGTTTCTGTATTGCACCTGATCCATTATAGTATCAATAAATTGAAGTTTTCCAACACCTTTCCAAGCAATTGAACCCCATACCATCACGTTACCGCCATCATACTCGACAGTTCTTCTCACGCAGCTTAATTTGTAGGCTTCTCTGGCTTTTCTCCAAACTTTTTGGGCTCCATCAGATGACTTGAAGTTGAATTTTGATTCGTCGCTCCACAGAATCTTTTTCCAGAAACTTAACAGCATGTTTTTGAACTTCTTAGCAAACTCCAATCTTCTTTTCATGCATTTCTTACTCAAATATAGTTTATTACGCACAAGACATCCTTGAAATCCCTGGTCTTGGATACGATTTCTGATTGTCTGATAGGATAATTTGATTCCATAATTCTCTTCAGCTAGCTCAGCCAGTTTTCGAGCAGAAATAAAGCAATTTTTCTTGACTTGTATAATTAAGTTTCTATCAAAACTCTTAGAAGTCTTTTTTTTGCGACCCTCTCCTTCTTTTGTGGCTGTTTTTCTGATCAAATTATACTTCATTATGTAGCATACTGTATGAGGAATTCCAGTCTATTGCTGCATCTGACGATAGGTTTTACCCTGATTGACTAGATTGACAGCTAAATTTCTCTGAGAAACAGTTCAGTGACGTTTACCTCCAACCATTTTACTTAAAAAAACCTTTTTTTTATACAAAACTTTTTTTTTTACTACAAAAAACAGTTTTTTGTTATGCAATTTCATTAATTGTATAAAAATTTGTTAAAATATTTCAACAAATTTCACATAAAGTTAGTTAAACTTACCTAAATATCGCTTGGTCGGATAGTTTTTTTTACAAGCCTATTCAATACTAAGTTTCTTTTAGGACAAATAATAAACCAACTGAAGCATGAACCAAAAAATATGAACGCTAAATAACATACTATTCCCAATAGAATTAAAATGACAGACAAAGTAAGTATCGCTATTCATCACAATATCTTAAAAAGATATTGGGATGATGTCATTTACCGAAACTGTTATGAATTAACACACATGGAATAAATTATCAATTCTGCAGATTGCGGCTAACATTATACAGACCCTGAGAACCAAAAAAAAAATGGAGTAGGCAAGCTCTGACTAAAACGATAATTCTAATTTTGTTGGTATGCATTCATTATTTAGTTTCAATAAAAAAAATTAAGCCCAAATGTTTTTTAAACATTTTCTTTAATATGAACACAACTTGCCTCGGCAGTTAAGGATCCCTTTAAGGAACATGATGAATGGCAACAAAATATGCTATGGAGTTGGTCAAAGGCAAATGTTCTTCAAATCTCTGCGCAGTTCTTGGGAAGACCTTACTCCATGATATTAGGCATCTATTGATACCAGAAGTTGACATCAATAATATTCTAATGGATAAATGTCAATTAGACAGGGGTAATTCAATAGTAAAAGTAATTTTGAAAAAAGATTCAGAAGAGAAAACACAATTATTTTGCGCTGGTTTAGACTGAAAGATAGATAAAAACACAAAATGTATTTAAAAGCAAATAATTCTGAAAGAAAAAACTTCATAACAAAATGTGTTGCTGCAGAGCATTATATTACTTTTACACATGAGGATGGCAAATCTCACAGAATATACTTGACACACATAACAATACCTGTTGTTGGTGCTGCTGGGGATGATCTTGCTCTTGAGACATTTAGTGTACTTGAAGAATATGACAACCTGGAGAATATCCGTGTTATTCTTTTAGACAATACTGCATCAAACAAAGGTTGGAGGAGTGGCTTGGTGGTTAATCTAGAAGAGTTGATAGGAAGGAAACTTCACACAATAGGTTGTAGTCTTCATCAGAATGAACTCTTACTAAAATCCATTTTTAAAAAGTTAAATAGAAAAACAACCGGTCCAAAAAATTTTAGTGGACCAATTGGGAATAGATGCTTCGAAGAAATTCACAGACAGCCTCAAGTGGAGTTTGAAGCAATTCAAACTTTTATCACTAAAGGATATATTTCAAATGAGATATTAAAAGATATTAGTCATGATCAAAAGCTTTGTTACAAATATTGTAAAGGTATTAGATTAAGTAAAGTAGACAACATTTGGGCTAATTGTAGAATAATTCCACCGAATCATGCTCGATGGTCAACGCTTTCTATACAAATTTTTTGTTTATACAGTCGAGATGTTTCTTTAAACACAAATCTAAAAAAGCTTACCCATTATATTCTTAAAGTTTATGCCTTGTCATGGTTTCAAATAAAGAAATCTTCCAAAATGCAAAACTCCCCCCAGATTCTGTTTTTCACTATTAATCAATTAAATCTTATTAAGTTTGATGATGTAACAAGAATTGTTAAAAAACAAACATTTAAGGTAATATTTCTGTTTGATACCTGCAAATTTTCTCTACGCAATGGTTAAAAATGATAATGAGCAGACCAGAACTCTCGGATTTGAGACGATACTCACTCTCAGAAAACAGTAAACTTTTTAAAAGTAGTTTATTTATAATTTATTAATTTATAATGTATATAAAATTTAAAAAAAAAATGTATTGTGCTGTATTATTTAAAATAAAGTTTTAATTAAGTATAATTAATTTGTTATATATATATATACATATATATATATATATATATATATATATATATATATATATATATATATATATATATATATATATATATATATATATATATATATACATATATATATACACACACATATATGTATATATATATATATATATATATATATATATATATATATATATATATATGTATATATATATATATATATATATATATATACATATATATATATATATATATATATATATATATATATATATATATATATATATATATATATATATATATATATATATATATATATATATATATATATATATATGTATATATATATGTATATATATATATATATATATATATATATATATATATATATATATATATATATATGTATATATATATATATATATATATACATATATATACATATATATATACATATACATATATATATATATATATATATATATATATATATATATATATATATATATATATATATATATATATATATATATATATATATATATATATATATACACACACACTCATATATACATATCTATATATACATATATATATACATATATATATATATATATATATATATATATATATATATATATATATATATATATATACACACACACTCATATATATATATATAAAACATAAGACATCTGGAAAAACCAAGTGTCAAAAATATGGTACCTTAAGTAACACCATATGCCAAATAAAAGTTTTATGCATATTATATATTTTATGTTGTTATTTTTAAAAAATGAATTCATATAGTATTTACACTTTCTAAATTACTATTTTTAATTAGTTTGCCATTTTATTAAACTACATTTAAAGTTTTTAATAAAAATTTTCAAACCTTCGCTTTTCATTTTCATAACTAATTTAATTAACTGCATCACACAACATGACTAAAATTTAAAAAAACAATAATTTATTATTATAATATATAAGAAATATAAAATAAATTTTAAGTGTATAAGCTAAAAGGATTTGCAGCAATAAAAATTAAATAAACTTAATAAGAAATAATATATTATAATTAATTAATTGCACATATATACAATTACACTAATAACATACACCAAATTTATTTGAGTATAGATATGAAAAATTATACTAAAATATATAAAACATTAAAAAGCTTAAAAGAATAATATATTAAAAATTAAAAAGACTAACTCTGTCTTGAACTTCCAGATCAGAACTTTTCATAAACATTGGCAGTGCATTGTTAAGCTTCTCAGTTAACTTATTAATTAGATCTATGTCTCCCTATTTAACAAAAGGTTTCTACAGAAATGGTATTAAACATAACAAAAAATTATTTAAATTAATCATAAAGAAGACAATATATAATTAAAATAGTTATATGGAAGCAGTATTAAACAAAAAAATAATTAATAATAAAAACAAATTTTAATTTGTTATTATCAATAATGTGATTTTAAAATTAGTTTGATAATTATAATTAAATTTTGATAATTATAAATAATATGCAGTAGTGGTGTAATAGTAGAGTACAGTTTGTCAAAGAATTAAAAAAAAAATATTTATATTACATCAGAATGTTAATAATAGTTATGTTGTGATACATAGATAACATTCGCACCCCCTTGTTCCCAAGTGTATATATATATACATTAAAATTCAATTGATATAGAAATTTTGAGTGGGTAAGATTTTGAGTGGGTAAGATTTTGAGTTGGTAAGAATACTCTTCTTCTATTCTTTGGTCTGCTCATCTGTATGTATACTTCTGCTACTTCTCTATCCTCTACTTTCAATTTATCCTTATTATTTCTTATTATTTCTTATTATTTCTTATTATTTCTTATTCAATTTATTATTATTATTTATTATGCTTTAATTATTATATCTTTAGGGGTTGTTTGACATGCCTTGGTTAGATTTTAAAACAGCTTTGTCTAGTGTTTTTGCTAGATTTAGTTACATGCTTGTTGTAGTTTGTTACCTTCATAACAGTTGTTACTATAGTTATAGAATAGAATTACAGCTTATAAAAAATATAAAGAGATATGAAATTTAATTTATTTTTAAGGGTAGAAAAATAAAAAACGAATAAAAAATTATATTCAAGTAAGCAGCAATTAAAATATAATGGTAATGGTATAGTTTTTTACATGCATGTTGAATTAATTTCAAATCCTTGTTGTATAATGTCTGGTGGTTTTACCAACATACCTAGCACATACAAATTTATATACAACAGAAGATTTCAGATTATTATTTGAAGGGTTTTTCAATGAGAACATGCTGCCAATTTTGAAAGGTGTCAGGACTAATTTAATTTTGTTGTTTTCTTCACAATATCTTTGGATATATTTATTTATTGATCACCTATCAAATAACTTCGAGGATATGGTAAATAAGGAAGAAGTAAGAAGTCAAAAATGGAAGTACTTATCAAGACCAAATCACAGATCATCTGCTATCCACTTTTCATGGAGGTCTGTGCAGACAGACCTTCATGATTTTTGAGGATGACTTTTTGTAACTGAGAAAGACTCATAGCTAAAGAATCTTTAGATAGACGGAGAAGTTTATAAAGAATTTTAAAAAAAGTACCAATCAGTCATTTCTCTGAAGTCTTAAAACCATTCCTCTGAAGAGCTACACAAAACCATTAACCTATTTATTCATCCAGTAATGGTTCTGACTTTCTCAGACACATTAAGTAATTACCCAGTTAAAATAACTTTGAGCTGCTTTTATAACTGTTTTTATAAAGGGCAGCATGAAGATTATAAAAAGCATATTAAAGATTACTTGGTTGAAATATAAATCATTTTTTGGTAGCAGACTAACAATACAAATTTTTAAACTTGGAAAAAATAGAAGAATTGTAGCAAAAAAGTAGCAAACGTACCGTTACAGGTAGCCAAACAAATACAAGCATTTAAAAATTTTACTTACTAAAAAAATAACTTTCAAACAAAAATATTTATTTTCAAAAGTAACAATCTACCTCCTCTTCAGATTTTGTAAGAACTCTTGAGAATAGTTTTGCAAGAGATTGAATGATAACGCATTGTATATGTCCAGGTAGAAAAGAAACACGTTGGTTTGTGAAACTTTCCACAAGATCATTAATATTCTCAACATATCTAGAAATAAAATATAAAATGTTGTATAGAATCAATCAGGGTGGCTAGCTGATAACTAATTTAAAATTCCAGGATATTTCCAGGACTTTTCAATAAAAATTTTGGGTTTTCCAAGGATCATTTTTTGACCAGAAAAAAACAAAATATGTTGATTTAAAAAAAATATGAAAAAGAAAATAACTAAATAAATAGTAGATTTTAATAATACTGATAGCAACAATAAACAGGGCTCGAATTAAGTGTATCGCAATTGTGAATGCTTTTTACACCTTTGTGATTAGTTTTTTCTTTCTTTTTTTTTTAATATTTTCATAATTTTTTTTTTTTTTTTTTTTGCTTTTCTAATTTATCTTTTTTTTTTTTGACTTTTCTTAAAAGAAATGTTTTTGTTTAAATTTTTTATTAGGGGTGATAAATTATGTCGCACTAAATTTATCTTTTGAATAAAATATGATCACTTGCACTCTTGCACAAAGAATTTCATTCAACATAATGCACTTTTGAATTTAAATTACTTTGAATCTTTTTGTAGTCTTTTAAAATTATATTAAGTTTGATTTACTTAATAGATTAAAGTACACCACAGTAAATTTATTGATAGACTAAATCAAAACAACCATTTAGGTTACTACAGTTGAGTTACTCTTGAAGGGATTCCAAACCTCCGAGACATGTTGTGTTCATATTAAAAAAAATGAAAAAAAATGTATGGAATGAATTTTTTTGATTAAAACAGAAGAATAAATGCATACCAAGAAAAACTAACTTTTTTAATTTAGTCAAAGTTTGTCTTCTCTGTTTTGTTGTAGACCAAAAAGTCTTTATAATATATGCTGCAATCTACAGATAATTTATTCAAGCACATTTTATTCCAGAGAGTTTTAGTACATGACATCACAGATTTGTTTGTTTAAAAGATCGATTAAGTAAACAAACAAAAAAATCAATGACGCTATGTACTAAAACTCATATGAATTAAAAGCCATTGAATAAATTATCTGTAGATAATTTATTCAAGTGTGTAGATTGCAGCTTATATTATGTAGACTATTTGGCCTACAAAACTTAAAGAAATATAATTCGAGTTATTAAACCGAGTTTTTTTTCTCTTTTTTATTTGAACAAAAAATATTTATAATTTACACAAAAAAATTGAATGAAAATATCAACTTAAAAACTATTTTAATGAGAAAAGTTAATTATTCTTAATTTTTTAATAGTATGCAAGATCAAGAAGCAATAAATTATAAAAAATGTGGTAATGTTTTTTTGCATTGACTTGTTTGGCCTATAGATATAGCAGGTTTTTGTGCAAATATGAAGTTTAAAGTTTTATGAGGATAATGTTTTAATTTATTAATTAGATGTTTTAACTTATTAATTAAACAATAATGATAATAACAATTTATTAATAATCTACTTATTTACTTTGTTTTATTGTAAATGCGTTTTATGTTATTAATGTTATAAACTGTATAAAACATTATAAACTGTATAAAGTTTCAAGGTCACAAGGTCTTTATATTGTCAAAACAAATTTTGCAGTTTATTGCTGTTTTACAATAACAATTCAAAACCCAATAGTCAGCATATAATAAATAATACCCAAAAGTCAGCATATAATAAATAATACCCAATAGTCAGCATATAATAAATAATAAAGTAATTAAATTAAGGTATTGTTCAAAGACTTTTTTTTTTTTGCGATAAGTTTTTTGCCCTGTTAAACAAACTTTTTTTTTATTATGCAAAATACATAATTATTAAGTTCAGTATAAATCTTTGCAAAATAAATAGTAACTCTGTAGAAGATAAAAACATGATAACAAAATGGAAAGATTTCAAAAAAAGTTCCGGTAATTATTGCTAAAAGGGGTGTTTTTCCAAGACTTTTCCAGGACTTATCAAATTCCAGGACTTTTCCAGGTTTTCAAGATTTTGTTTTGTCACCCTGTTAATTTTCCTTGGTTAAAGTTCAGTCCAAATAAAAATCTGCGCAACTATTTTAAAAAAATGTCCTACTCTGCAAATTCACCAGCTATCCATGCTGCAGCAAAAAGAACTTCACAGCTCGTATTTTTTTCGTTGATCCCAATAAACATTAAAGGTTGATCAAAAAGCTTAGCAAATACAGGAACAGCATAGCTTCTCACAGCTTTTACACGAACAACAACATCTAAAACCTGATTGGCTATAACTCTACCATGTTTTGTACCCTCCACTGAACTTAGCTTAATGAGAATATCAATGTACCTAATAAAAAAAGAGCAAAACATGAGTTTAACATAAGAATTTTATTTATCATGTAAGGTTTATATATTTATAGGTATTCCCAATTATAGGTAGTCCTCAACATATTGGAGTTGTTCATTCACAGAACTCCATAATTCTATTGTTCTGTTTTCAACTACAATTTTTGAAATGTTCAACTTAGTTATGAGAAACAAAAATTGAATTAAAAAAAAAATTAAAAAAAAAATTTAAAGAACTAAACTTAAGCTGAGGATATGATAGTTGAAAAAAAGATCAATTAAAGAAGAAGATTAAAAATGAAATACTTAAGTAATTTATACTTTTAAACTTTTAAGTGTTTAAGCTATGCACTTATATTTGTGTGCATTGTTAAATACATTTAATAATGCACTCAAATACAATTAATTATGCACTCAAATACATTTAATTATGCGCTCAAATACTTTTAACTATGCACTCTAACTTATTTAATTATGGCTATTTAACTATATATGTTTAAAAATGTGTTTAAAAACAACAGTTGTGCATTAAGATATTTACAAATAGTAAGGTGTGGTAGGTGATTTGGTGGGTGTATAAATAAAATTTATTACACAATCTATATTCACCATTCAAAGTTAATAACAAATTGATAATTTGATTGACTGCAAATCTCAATTATTTTTAACAAAAGCTCATCACGATAATTTGTTCCTTCTGCTTTAGACATGTGCAAAAGCAACTTTTTTACAATTTCTTGAAGTGTCTTCTTAGTAATCATACCAACAATTAAATCCAGAGCTCTGTAGCGTATAGATTCATCTCGATCATCGAGACACTGGAGAATTAAATCACTAAAACAAAACCAAAATATTAACAATAAAATAATAATAAATTAACAAACAAAAACTATTAACAATAAAATAAATTTAACAAACAAAAAACTCTATGACTGTGTTTCTCTAAAACTCAATTAACCAAACAAATTTTGAGCAAACTAAAATGGCTTTAAATTTCTTTTTTAAAGTAATAAATAACAAAATAAAATTAGAGTCAAAAGTGAAAGAAAAAGAGAAAAAAAAAGATATTACCGATGACCCATGACTAATTTTGGCTGTGATTTCAAAATTTTGTTGAGTAATAAAAGACCGAGATATTTTACTAAATTTAAACTTTCATTTATAAATATTTCAACAAATGTATTAGCACTATATATCAAAATATTATCGCTATGACAACTTACAATTTTGATCTTGGTCTTCTATGAGCAGCTTCAATTTTGTGACACAAAGCTGTCGAAAAAAAATTCAAAATTTGAACTAAGAAACAACAGCTAAAACAACAAATTCAGAGAATGAAAAAATTACCTGCATGGATGGCGGATGATCAGGTAATCCTAATATTATAAAAGTACTATTTATACATAATATTTATCAACAAACAAACTATAATAACAAACACTATTATAATAACAAACAACTATATGTCAAAATATAAATCTTAAATTACAGAAAGAATGTCTAGAAGCATATTAAAAACATACAACTTTCTCTGATAAAAATAACAACAAACTATTTCAATGTAAAAAACAATATATTAGATATTATTATATTAAAACTAAATATTTATTTTATAATTTTAATATAACTTTGCTTCTGTTAAGAAGCAAGTGGACATTAAAATAAAATCTTGATAACATAAAAGATTCTAATTATGAAAACCCAACTTTATTACAAAAAATACTCTTAGGTCTTAAGTGTTTTGTTAGCAATAATATTTTTTTTGAAAACATTTTAGGAGTAAGGCAAACACAATAAAGGAAACAACTTAAGAGGTAAAAAATCAAATCATACAGAGGTAAAAAATCAAATCATACAGAGGTAAAAAATCAAATCATACAGAGGTAAAAAATCAAATCAGGAGCAAACACAATAAAGAGAAATATCGTAAGCTAACTTTATGATAGATTAGATACACAATATCCTTTAGAGGTCAGTAGTAAAAGATTAGTCAAGCAGGTGCAAAGTAAGTGTTGATATTCCAAAGTAGAAACCTCTACTTTGGAATATCAACAGTATCGCAACAACTATTTCTAAGTTTAGTTTAGAATAAAATTTAATATATGTGAGCTTTAAGCTGTGACTAAAAAGAAATCACATTCAAATTCAGCTATCTCTTCTTAGCAATTAAAGTGATAAATTACATTATATAGTTGTGTACGAACTGCTATAGTATATAGTTAGTAATTAAAGTCATTTTAGATGTAAAAATATCAGTACATATTCTCAATACAAATGAGAAACAATATGGAACAAGAATGGAACTTTGTGGCACCTTAGTGGCTACAAGAAATAAATAGGAGTGTTGCCAAAATGCTTTTGCCAGATAAATGATGGTATCAGAAAACTGAATAAAGCAAAACAACCTTAATAAAAATAAATTTTGATATAAACTTAACACAAAAGATGAAATTATATATATCATAGTTTTGTATTGAGCTTATATATTATATAAAGCCAATACAAAATAGACATGAAATAATATCTGTGTTAACATGTAAAATGAAAATTATTAAAATAAACCTATACATTTGCTGTAAACAAAAGGTTCAGTGCATTGGTTAGCTGCAGTAAGTGAAACACTGCATATAATTAATTCCTTATACACACATAAACAAAATCACACTTTCATAAGTTCATGCAACAGTTTGACCTTACATAAAACCCATTCTAACATAGTAGACTCTAATATCCTTTTGCACTTATGCAGATTGTGACTAGATAGACACCATCCATATAAAAATATTGAAATTTAATATGTGGATTTGCACTCAATCTAGTCTTAAAGTCCTTGTTTTGATTTTAAAAACACTTAAAAAATTCTTTAAACGTTTTTAATCAGGACAATCAGGACTGAGACCAAAACCAAATAGAAGATTGACTACAACATCTTTTAGTTTCAGACATATTTTATTCCTAATAAAATATGTCTGAATCTAAAAACTTAAAAAAAAAAACATATTTACCAGCGACAACTGTATTTATACATTCATACAAAAGTGACATTGCAGATGTGCTATAAAGAAAAAAAATTAAAATAACTATATTAACTATATATAAATAAAAAAATTTGAAAATAAAGAAAACCTGAGAATATTAAACGATGCACTGAAAATGAGGGAAAACAATAAATATCTTTAAATTTGCTAACTCACCTATGAATGAGACTTGTAAGTGGTTCAAGTAGTTTTTTACCCAAGCGTGGTTCTAATGGACATAATGCACCAAACTTAAGTGAAATAAAATTTATATAAAGGCATGCACATACATACATTTTTTTTTTGCTTTAATTGGAACCCAAAATATATATATATATATATATATATATATATATATATATATATATATATATATATATATATATATATATATATATATATATATATATATATATATATATATATATATATATATATATATATATTATCTAAATATATATATATGTGTATATATATATATTTAGATAATATATACAATAGTAGTATATATTTTAAAGAAAAACACAATATTTTTTAATCTTGACATGTTTTGTAGTTAACATTCTACATTTAAAAAACGATAACATTAGAATTTAAAACTCTGGATATAAATATAAAATCAAAATTTGAAGACATTACAGAGAAATAATAACAGACAAATAGAATTGTTACAAACAAATAAAAATTATAATACAAATTATAATACCGTAATAGCAACAAACAAACAAACAAAAAAGTTTTAAGTAAATAAAAATAAAAAAAAACAAAAAAATAAAAATAAACTAGATTGACAAATTTATATTTTAATGAACAGTTTGTTTATTTAAAGATGGGTTTTTTGTTTTGTTTATTTATTTAAAGATGGGAAAATTTTTGTAAAAGACCCATATATGTTATTTTGTGATAAACTGATCCAGAAAGCGAAACAGACTTATTGATAAGAAAATCTAAAATTGCAATTTGATTATCTTGTTCTTTTTCCATAGTAAATTTTAAGTTTTTATGTTGTTTATGATAATGTGTAAAAAATTCCTGACTCTTGGAAAAAAACTCTAAATTAAAAATAGCGATATCATCCACATAACATTTATAGAAAATTGGTATTGAGAAAGAGCAATTACCCATTTTTGTTTGTGCCAATCAAAATATTAGCTAAAATTGGCGCTAAAAGAAAAACAAATGGCAATACTATCCAATTGATCATATTATTTCCCATTAAATAAAAAATGAGAACTGGATGTTGAGATTTGAAGTAATTTTTTGAACTGAGCTTTAGAAAAATATTTCAAACATGTTTCATCTTTAAAGTATAAATCAGTAGTTATACTTATAGTTTCATTAAATGGAATATTATATTCCATTTAATGAAACTATAATTTTGTTAATTATATCGATTTGTTTTGTAACTTTGTTGTGTTGTTCCTTAACAAAAAAAAAAGAGTCACAGGTGGAATAAAATTTAGGTATACAAGGAGACTATAAATCATAAAGATATTTGGCAAGTTTATAATTATATGTCCGGATTGTTGAAATAATTGGTCTAAAAGATGTTAGAAAAAAGCAAATTGAAAATTAAAGAATCCGCCTGTAGACGGATGGGAGTAGAGAGAGAGAGAAAAAAAAAACATCTGTGAATACCAGGTATTTAAAACCAAATATAAAAACCAAAACAACTTACAAGTTTTATAATTTTTATAAGCATCCAATTGTTTGAAGAAGTAGTCATCAATTTGAAAAAAAGAGGAGCCAACGCAAGATAATTTTTTGGATGTTTACGAGCTAGCTCGCAAATAACATTAACAGCAGCACACTGAACACCTAAAATATATTGTATTAATATTACACGCACATATTCATTGAAATCTAGTGAAACATTTCAATAACACAGAAACATTTATGATTCTATAATTTTAAAAATATACTTAACAATTATTAAGAGGTAATGACGAGAAGAAAAAAAACAAGTTTTGAAAAAAATTTAATTATTAAATCATAAAACTTTACCAGTATCACTATCTTCAAGTCTCTCTTTTAACCTTGGAAATGATGGACGCAAAGCATCAGGAAACTAAAATTTAAAATAAATTATAAAAAAAGAAATTCTAATTTTCGGTTTCTATTTATAGATGATTAACTTTTTTCCTTAGTTTTTATTTTACTTAAGATCTAATAGTATTATTTTTACAAATTTATAGTAATTAGAATAATCACCCTTCATAAATTTATAAATCTGGCTGGTCACAATCTGGTTACCTGGTCATAAAATGAATACTCCTAATTTTTCAATAACATATGGCCTTGATATTTAAGCAATACTGTTTAAAGCTTAGCTAATTAAAAAAACACCATTATACAAAACAATTATCTTTTTATAATAATAAAACGTTTTTTAAGATTTTAGATTTGTCAAATAAACTAAAATTAGAATATTAAAAATGCAACAAACAAATATAATAAAGCAATAATAATAAACAAAAAAAAAATTATTTATATAATACAACTATAAAGTTTTATTTTATTTTATTAACATTTTCAAATATTTGACTTATGAAATTATAATATCATAATATCAAAAAACTGATGAATGTAAAGTATGTGACAGATTGTGTATGTACATGACTTTGTGTGTTTTACCAGAAATTTTTATAATTTATAAAAAATCATTTTAAATTAACTCTGCAACTACTTTAATGTTTGTTTAAATTTAATAAAATTAATTTTTATTAATTTTATTAAGTTTTTATTCTAACTTTTATTTCAACTCAAAAGTTAGTACTAAGAATAGTACTAAGGTACTAGTTTTGTTTTACTTTTTTTTGTTTTACTTAATTGCACTTTTAAACAATAAAAAATTACTTCTGATCATTGTTTACAATAAATACATTTTATTTAAATAATTTAAAAGTATATCGTAAAATACATACTTATGTAAATAATAAAAATTGTATATGAAACTATAATATGACATAATATAATAAATAATAAAAAAAACTTACATTTAGAAACACTTTGTACATAAGAAGAATTGCACGTTTGCGAATGTATGGTTTTGAGGATACCATCTAAAGATTCATTAATTTGTCAAACTTGTTTTTTAAACCCTCGTTACTACTAAGTAACGAGGGTTTAAAAAACACAACTCATAAAAAAAAAAAAAAAAATGTGGGTTTTACTAAAAATATATTTTTTTTACAAGTGAATAGTCTGATTTTACCTTGTAAATCTATTATAAATAAATTTGCCTCTTACATCATATAAATATTAATTATATATAAAATATAAATTATATACACAGTATGTACAGTGCATGCATATATAAAGCAACCGTCGGAATTAGGAAAAATGAGGTTGGCAATAATTAGCCAACCTCACTCTTTTTAAGGTCGGCATCAGGACGGCAAAAATTATTTGAAATAAAGGTCTGACCATAAAATATAGAAACGAGGTCAGCAAAATTTTGCCGATCTTAAACACTTTCAGGTCAGCAGTTAGGTCGGTATTGCCGAATGCCGACCCTAAATTCCGAGGGTTGTATAAAGTATATTTTTAAATTTAGTTTTTTACAAAAGTGCTTATAAAATAATCCATAACATGATTAATAATTTTGTATAGCTAGTTAGGTAACTCAGAAAAAATTATTGGTGGAAAAATAAATGTCTACAAAGAAAAAAAAAAATCAATAAAGTTTAAAAATTATATTTCATTGAATTTCAAAGTGTAAAACCACGGGTTTTTTGTTTACCAATTGAAATCTTCTCCTCTTAGATGTCTGTATATCTGAACATGCTTTTTAGCTCTATCATTTCCTAACCTATTTTTTAGTCTGCTCCACACAATACCAAAAATAGAAAACACTTATTCTATGAAATAGTTCTTGCAGGAATATTATAAAACTATGATTGAAAAAATATTGCAAACCATTTCAGTAGTGGTAAAAAATTTTTGATGCAACCTTTGCTTTGTTTCTATTATACCCACCATCTTGAATTTTTCATAGAAACAATAATGTCATTAAGCTTATCCAGTAAATTATCTGCTAAAAGTTTTTTCAGGTTTGGAGGATCATACCAGGTTTCAAAAAATCCACAAACTTGTAATATAATTTTTCACAGTATTAAAAGGAAAGCTGCATATTAAAATTTGCAAACTTGCGAGTCAAAATCATCTTTTGATCTGAGTATGTATTTTTCTATAAACTTTTGTTTTTTATATGGGGTTGATGTTGAACCACAGTAACTACTTCTAAAATCACCAGAAATGAAAGATACTTTAAAAGATTTTAGAGTAACTACTAACTAATTATTAAAAATAATAAACTTAATGTTAACTAATTAAGAAAATAAAACTTGATTCAAATTTATAAAAAACGAAAGTAACTAAAAAGTTCATTCCTCTTTAGTTGCATTAAAAATAAAAAAAAAATTAAGAAATAACTTTTTATTTACTATTACTGAATCATCTAATTAAATAATTGATAAATAAAGAAATACTGAATAAGAAATAAATTGTTTATAAAAATTAAGCAAAGTCAAACTTACCATGCTCATAATATCATTAGCCAAGTCTCTAGCAAGGTCTGGAGATATAAAACAAGATAGACCAGCCATGGCCGCACCTGCATCATACTGATTAACACTGTTCATATCCTATAAAATAAAAATAAAAAAAGTTTAAACTTAAATAGTAAGAATATGATAAAAATACAAAATTTTTAAGAAATTTAAACTTAAAAATCATAAAAAGCTAGAATACAACATGTTTATCTGGTTCCAACTTAAGTATTGAGTAAATTTATCTTTCATGCTAAAATTATTTATTGGTTTCATTTTTGATTTCATTATTGATTTCATTTTGTTCGGTTTTTAATGAACATTTAATGACATAAACTAATAATATAGTAATGCTTAAGTATCTTAAAAACAGATGAAGTAGACAATTTTAAGGTGTGCTATAAACAGGATTATAGTTAGTGAACTTCAAAACACCCAAAAGATAGGGTGCCATTTGGCAACTTACAACTTAAGAATAAAATAAAATCCATCTTTGAACCTGGGTCCAGATTTTTTTTATCAAAACTTGTCTTGGAAAATTGGGCCACAGTTGATCACTATTCAAAAGTCCTATGTTAGTAATATCACAGACACTTAGTGTTTAAGATCAAAGTTTTTTCCACCAACTATTTGCTCAGCTTCATAAACTTAATTTTCAAATATGAGTTTTTATGCACATTAATTTTTAGCCTATATTACTTTTTTAACTTTTAAAGTATTAAACATAAAAACAAATAACTTAAAACTAATCTCTTGACAAAAAAATTGACAAAAATCTTGACAAAAATCTTATGATCTAGTCTGACAAACTGCTCAATTGCGAAAATGCCAAAATCATAATATTATTTGTCATTTCAAACAAGTTTTAATATCTAAATAAACAATTTTAGAGCAACTGAACTGTTATATGTGAATGTTTAGAATTTGCTGAAACAATATATTTTTATAACATTTGTTATTATTTTATAAGCAAATTATTGCAAAATTAAAAAAGTGAAAGTGAAAGTAAAACCTTCTTTATAAGATTTGTAGCCAGCATAAGCACATCTAAATCAGCGTGAAAACTTTGTGAAGCTGTCATGTAAGCAATTCGCTAAAAGTTACAAAACAATATAAATAAATTAGGAAAAAGGGTAAATATTAAAACTAATGATAAATTATAGTAATTGACTAATATCAATGATAACTAGTAAGAAACTTATTTAATAAAACTTTAAAAAACTTTAAATTTGAATTTGAATATTAAAATTTAACAAAGATGATTAGTCAAAATAAAATTATTTAAAGAAAATATTTACTTTGTGAGTAAACTTTTGTGAGCTCATAACTTCAATCATGTTAAAAGCAGCCCAGGTAATGTCATACCCCAACATTTGAATCTATAATTAACAAAGACTTGAATCTATAATTAACAAATACTTGAACTTATAATCAATGTAATTAATACTAAAAAAAGTCTAACTAAACTTAAAATCAACATAATTTAAAAAATATATATTAAAAAAAACTTTTAAAAACAACATTTGAGAAACGGATTAAAAAATAAATAATAAAATTTTTTTTTTGATCTTATGAACTTGTAACTAAGAATTGGCGTTACTGAATTATCAGTTTGCAGAAAAGTGATTTTTTTTTTATTACGCCATAAAAAATTGCTTCAAATACCACTCAATTTTTTGAATAAATAAATCGCTCAGTGATTCGCTCTATAATAACAGCATCACGATTGCCTAACTAAAATCAAATTTGTAACCAAGCGCCCTCAATTTGATGGATGCCCAACATTTTTAGCCACTGACTTAAATGGATATTACAGGTTGTGTAAACCCGCAAAGTTTATTGGACCAGAGAAAAAGTTTATTTTTACTTTTTAATCCATTTCAAAAATGCTGTTTTTAAAAAGTTGTTTTAATATATTTTTATAACACTTTAAAGTCTTTTATAGTGATTTTTGCGTTTTTTTGAACAACTGAAACGTTTTATTATAATTGAAGAAAGATCTAAAAGTTTTCTAAAAGTTCTTTTTTTTAACTATTTAAAACTTTGTTACTTAAATACTTTTTTTAACGATAATTAAAATTCTAGTAGTCTACTTTTTTTTACACATTTTTATTGCCAAAACTAATATTTGTTTTGTGCAGACTAGTTCAGAAATAAATAAACTGACAAGGCAACAAGCTAATAAAAGTGTTGTAAAAGAGAATAATTTAGAATAATTTAAATCAGCATAATTTAAAAGTAGCATAATTAATTTAAAAACAATGTAATTAATTAAAAACAATGTAATTAAATTAAAAAAAAAGTTAATTTTACATAACTATTTTATCCCTAAACTTTGAAACATAAACAAAAAAATCTGCTACACAAAGAAACGAGTACTTCCAAAGATGTAGGGGGTACTTCCAGAGGCAAGGGTGAATTTGAATTCAAAGCTCTTGTTTATGATTAAAGTGTTCAACCACTTATCTACTATTGCATTAATTAATTTTTATTTTTTCTAATTTTTACATTTAATTTTTATTTTTTTTCTTATGAAAAAAAGCATTAAGAATAGTAAACACTTAAATTAAAACAAACAAAAGTCTTACATAAGAAAGTTTAAGAACTGCATTGGCTTTTAGTGCAATATTTTCTTGACGCAATTCTTGTTTTATTTCATCTAGACATTCGGTAATGTACTTTGACTAAAAAAATAAAGTATTTATTAATAACAATTTATGATGTAACTTTATAAATAATACTTCATAAAGCACCATGTTTGCCAAAATAGGGCAAAAAACCAATTGTTTAGCTAAAATAAGGAATCATATAAAGTAAGGAATCAAATAAAATAAGAAATCTTATAAAACAATTTCACAAAAAAAGATACCTCATTATTTTTGTTGTTTCTCAAACCACGAACAAAGTCATTTAAATTCTTTTCAAACATTTTGTATTGTTCTTAATAATAAAAAAGTTCATATCAAATAAAATAAAAAAAAAAAAAATTGTAAAATTTCAAACATGACAACAATTATTTTTATTTGACTTCATATGTTTAGTTTAATAGAAATTTATATATCTATGTTTAGTTTAATAGAAATTCTCACACGCACGGTCAAAAAAAAAAAAAAAAAAAAAAAAAAAAAGTTTAGAAAAACAAAAAAAGATATGTAAATCACCAAAAATAAAAGCAGAAAAAAAAAACTAATTGGTTTACTATTTAACTTTATTCTATGATTTTATTTCTTTTTAAATTACAACCACCAACCACATCATTAACCAACCACTGGGTAAATGATGTGGGAATGGACAGTAACATAGCATTAACTTTAAGTTTTATTTTTAATAGAGAGTTAAAAAAAAAAGTTAAAAGTTATAAAGATGTTTACTGTCCATTTACATTTGTTTTTTTGTTTCAATTTGTATTATCTACACCTTTAAAGCTTCATTCGACAAAAAAACCACAAAATTTGAACTAAGATTCTGGTTAAATGAAGCTGCAGAATGCTTAAATTTTTTTTAAAATATGACACCAATTTGAATAAAACAAGTTGTAAATCAAACTGAGATATTTAATTTTTCTAAACAAGTTCACTGGGATGCAAGAAACAATCAAAATTTACAGCAAAAGTTTAAATAAAATCTCAGATCATTAAAAATCCTAAACCAAAAGTATAACCAAATTAGATCTAGAATTTGGATCCTCAATCAAAGATCCTTAAAATATCAGAAGATCCTTAATTAAAGTTACCAAATTTTATTCACCTTTACAAATTCCAAATTGTTCCAAATCGTCAATCAAAGTATAATTATTCAAAAATTATTCAAAATAATTTTGATCCTGTTGATGAAATAAAAGGTTTGCATAAATATAGAAAAATAGTATTAAAAAAAATAGATATTGGTTTAAAAAAAAAAAGCAAAACAAAAAACACAACCATATTTTCTGTTTTTTTTTTTTTTTCTTTCTTTTCTTTCAAATTTCAAAAACTATTGTGAAATAAATCAATAAAACACAGTAATAAATTGTTAAAATAGAACTTTTGAAAAAGATTTTCTATTTTAAAAAACAATAAAATATTTTTAATAACTAAAAATAGGCAAGTTATTACAAAACCAAGAGTTTTTTTAACTTTCTCATAACTTTAATGGCTTCTTGATAAAAAAAACATGAAACAAAACAAATAGTAAAAACACCAGCAAAAAAATTTAAAACAATTATAAATCAAATAACAAAACAAAATAATAAACAACAAAAATGCATAACAATAAGGTAAAAAGAAGAAAAAAACAACTAAAAATCAAAAACAAAAATAATATATACTTCAGATTAAACAGATGTTTTAAACAATAAAATCGAAAGAAAAAAATATGTATAAAAAAAAAAAACATTAAAAAAATCCAATTAATAAAAGTGCTATTTAATTTAAAATGAGTTCTACGAATTTATTTAGACTAAATAACTAATATTGTTTTATTTTAAATGACATCGTTATAATATAAATGACTCCTTTATATTATAAAAACCTATAGCCATGAATAAATTATTTAATATTAATTTTACAGTAAATAAACAGCAGCTTCTTTTATGATTGTAGCACTGGATATAATATCTTCTTCAGATAATTTCGAATTAATGCAAATACGAATACTAAAGGAAAAACTTTTTTCTTTTAACTTTTATTTCAGAATATTTTTTTAACAGCTTTGCAAAAAGACAAATGGGAAATTAACAATGATGATGATGGCAATAAGATGATAATTTTTTAAAAAACTGACCTTGGTTCAGGTTGAAAAAGCTCCATATCTTTTAAATAACGTGCCACAGTTATTGATACATTCTTTTGTAAACACTTAACATAAATATCAACAAAAATTAATAACCTTAATTAAAAACAATAAAACAATTAATAACAATAATTAATGAAGTAACAACCTTAAATAATACAAACAATTTCAACTTATATATTTTAAGATGATATTTTTTCAACGTATACAAAAAGTACTACCAGTTGAACGATAGCTTCAAGTTTTTCTTCTTTCTCATTGTTAGTCAGTCTCTTGCTGGAATCCTCAATCAAACGCAAATGTATAACTGGTGAGAAATCTTCGCCTTCTATTTTGAGACCGTGTAACCTAAGGAATATACAAATTACTATTTATTTTTTCAAGTTTTAAAATAAATTCTACATTATAAACACAGTACATTATAAAATATTTATTTCTTATTATTTTAGAAATATATATTTTACAAATATGTAAAAAATTAAAAAAATAAAGACTTAATAAATAAAGGTTAGTAGTTAATAATTAATTAGAACACATAAAGTTTCTACTAGAACACATAAAGTTTCTTCTAGAACACATAAAGTTTCTTCAAGAACACATTAAGTTTATTCTAAAACACATAAAGTATCTTCAAGAACACATAAAAAATTTTCTAGAACACATAAAATTTTTTCTAGAACATAAAATATTAAAAATGATTTTTTATATCTTTTATTTTTCATAACTTCAAAGTTGATACGTGAGAAAGTAAAAAATTCAACAACTTTTAAATCTCAAGCAATAACTTAATAGTACAATTGTGAAAAAATTTTTTTAGTAAAATTTATTTTTGTTTAGTTATTAATTACTTTAAGATCCTTTACGGAAATATTCCATGGAAAACCCATGAGTAAACCATGATTTTCCCATGGAAAACAGAAATTTCATGGAATTTCCATGAGTGAATTTCATGAAAATTGAAATCCCATGAAATTTTCATGGGTGAACCATGGTTTTTTTTTCATAGCTTATGCTGCGTCATGGTTGTTACGAATGCGCTTTTAAAGATGGCGTCATAGCTCGTAGAGTTACGATTACTTTTAACTTAAGTAAACAATACTTACTGCATTCTTCTGTTTTTCTGTCTTTAATAAGACTATAAATTATATGTTTTTTATAATGCATCACATTTACATGATTCAAACTAAACATACAGACATAAACATCTAGATATATTTATCATATTATAATGCATAACAAAATGGATTATTTCTAATTATATTTAATTATATATCATTTATGCATATACTTATTTTAACTGTTTCCAATAGCTTTGCTTACTTTGCATAACTTGTAATAGTATAGCAAGTATGTCAAGTAAACCAGTTTGAATTTTAATGCTTACTTGGCAAATTATTTGCCAAACAATTATTATTTGGTTAACAACAAATACACGTTTAGTTTTAATCTACATTAAATAACTAGTGTATTATGTACATAGTGTAATCTAATGTACATTAAAACTTATACAATTATTATTATAAAACTTATCTAACATATTAAACAAACTTATCTAAAATATTAATATATAAGCAGTATATCAGATAAGATTAGATAACTAAGATGAGATAAGATAATAAGATTAGATAACTAATGTACAAAAGATAACTAGTATGTTCTTTTTTTTTTTATATATTAGCCTTAGATTACATAAAAATGCTTGAAGTTAATTGTATGGTAAATGTTCATTAAGTATTAAAAAACGTTTTTTTATGATAAATGTTCTATTCAATTTTAGTTCTGTTAAGTTGTTTTTGTCTTTTTGTTGTTGTTTTTTCTTTAGAATTATTAGAATATGTAAATAATGTAATATAAATATTGTTTATAAATTCTTTTATATTTACTTTATTATTTTATTTAAATTACTACATTATAAGCTGACAGGTTTGACTGGCAATATAAATAATGTTGTTCATCATTTATATTGTTTATAACATCGTCAGTTTTTATATGCATTTAATATTTTTAAAAATAGTTCAAAAGCTGTCAAAATAAAATGGTGAATTGAGTTTAAATTAACCAGAAAAGATATAAACATAATCTTTGGAATTCAACTTGTAAGGATGTTCCAAGAACCACTTAGTTGGAGAAGGAAAACTGTGGTAATGTTTTAAAAGTATCAGAAAGGGAAGTTAATTAATGCACAAGATTTTACTTCATAGTTAAATATAAGCATATAAAAGCAATGTTTATAAATAATACACTATTATTTATTATAATGTAATTATTTTTATTTGTTTATATTTAACTAATGTAAAGTGCTCGTCTTTAGTTAAAATAAATTAATTTATGCACACACTTTGATATTTATTATGCTTTTACATTACTATACTTTATAAATTACATATTTATTATATTTGTTATGTTTTAAATAGTAAAGTAAAAGTATAATAAATTTTTGAATTTAATGGTGTGTGTATAAGTTCTTTTATTTTAACTTTATCCTTTTATTTAAATTACTGCATTATAAGCAGGTAAGTTTGACTGACAATATAAATAATGTTGTACATCATGCAGACAGCTCAGACAAAGAAGTAAGTTTTTACTTAAAATTATAATTCATAAGTTACACTACATTTGTTGCTGCCTTGTTCTATATAAATTTTACTAACATGCAGGTAAAATTTGTATATGTGTATAAATCTTTTCATTTTAACCTTATCATTTCATTTAAATTACTACATTATTAGCAGGCAGGTGTGACTTGCAATAAAAATTTTTAATTTATTTATTTAGCCATTCATTAACAAGTTCGGTGCTTTATAATATATTTAAAGATGGTAAGGACGTGACTAAAACAGGTTTGTAAATGATGTTGTACATCATGCAGACAGCTCAGAAGAAGAAGTAAGTTTTTTTTTTAATTACAAAAATAAATATATAATGTAATATTTGTTGCTGCCTTGTTCTATATAAATGTTTCTAACATGTAGGTAACATTTATACATGTATTAGTTTGAATAAATCATTGTAATTAAGTTACATTATAGGCAGGAATGTTTGACTGGAAATATAAACGATGTTGTACATCATGCAGATAGCTTAGGCGAAAAAGAGGTAATAATCTAATAATTGCTATTTATAAATAATGATATATTCATTGCTATTTTTTTCTATATAAATGTTACCTAACATTTGGCAACATTTATTATTGTGTATAATGCTTAATTAAAGTAAGTTATAATAGATAATAATTATAAGTAAAATGAATCAGTAAATAAAGAAAACTAGTTAGAATGTATATAATAGTTGTATGATGTATTGTCTAGATTGGTGAAATGGAGAATGAGACTAACTACGGTAAAAAAAATAACGAATATTAAAATGTGAATGGTACTTTGTTTGACATCTACCTGTTTCTAAAGATACAGTGCAGTCACACATAAATGGGCTTGATGTTTTTTTGGATTGAATATGTTGTATTGATGGTTCTTTTTAACTTGTTAAAACTTTAAGTTATTATCAAATTTATATATACTATTTTTATCAAATAGTTAATATAAAATAAAAAACATGTAAATTGTTTTATTTTCTGTAAAAATTGTTTTCTTGATATATTTCAATTGTTTATCACTATGTATATCACTTATAGTATTATATTACTTGTGATTTTTTATTTATTTTCAGTATGTTATACATATGCATGCATTAAATATTGTGGGGAAGTCAAGTTTTGATGTTTTAGGTGCATTATAGCTGCAAAAAGATTTGTAGGATTTACCAAGATTTAAATTTTATTTTGTTTATTGATTTTATTCGGAGAAAGCGATCCCATATATTAAGAGAACTCAATAATATTAGTGTGATAAAATTTGCTTTTATGATTTAATATGACAATTCAAATAACATTAGATCAAAAAAACTTGAAAACAAATCATACAGAGAAACTAGAGAAACTCACAAGTTTCCCATGAAAACTCATGGGTTTTCCATGGGAAACTCATAGATTTCCCATGAAAAACTCATGGATTTTCATTGAAAACTCATGGGTTTCCCAAAGGAAACTTATGGATTTCCCATGGAAAACTCATGGATTTTCATTGAAAACTCATGGATTTCCCATTGAAAACTCATGGGTTTCCCATGAAAACATGTTTCAAATAACCATGGTTTTTCCATCGTTTTTTTTCATGGGTTTTTTTATGGAAATTTTCCGTAAGGGATTACATTAAGGAACAACAAAAGGAAATGCCAAACTTACCTTTAGCAAAACTAAAGGTAAGTTTGGCATTATAAATTTAAGTTCTATAAAATTTTATTTTTGTTGTTCCTTAATATAATCCCTTACGGAAAATTTCCATGAAATTTTCCATAAGGGATTACATTAAGCACTCTTTATTTGTTTGTAACACTAACTCAATTTGTTAACGACATAAACTCAATTTGTTTGTAAAACAAACTAAATTATTTTCAAAATGATGATTTTGAAATCATCATTTTGTTTTCAAAAATACTAGAGAACATTTAAGTTTATACATTTTTAAACAGAAGATTAAACCTACATCATAATAAATGTTCCTTGAAGCTCATCATTAGAACCAAATAATATAAAGATTTTTTTTTTCCAACTCTTTATAAAAAAACTAGGAGTCAGAATCAAATTTCACAAATCAATTTGATGAGAAATATCAGCAGAGAGGTAGATAGAAGCACCAGGAATGCTCAATCTAAAAATAAGCTGATTCCAGGATGCTACGTCATAGAAGGTAAGAAGGCAATATGAAGCTGCTTAAAAAAGGCATGGTGGTGATGTAAAATCAAAATGTTTTAATAAACAACTACTAACGAATCAAATTTATTGGAACAAATGTTAAGGAATAAATCTTTAATAGCCACCATCAAAAAAATCAGAAATTTTACTTTGCATATTCTTCGATATTTTTTTAAAATTGAGATCAGTATTAATAAAATATAGAAAATATAAATAGTGCTTATATAAAGAAAAAATTATCATGAGCCAAAACATACATAGATACTCAGTATTATATTATCATGAGCTGAAACATACAAATATACATACATAAACAAACATAAAGATACTCAGTATTATATTAATAAGTGATGAAGAGAAAAAAAATTTCATTATAAAAAAATTGTTTATGATTTTGGTCTTACCCTTGGAGCTCTTGTCTGAATCTCTGAGAATTTTCACGCAATATAGAAAACATAGCTAAATAAAACACATATTTTTATTTCAACAATACAATAGTTTATGATTGTGCTATTCATTATCTCTTAATATAAAATTAGAATGCAGCATTAAAAAAACAAGAATAAGAATAAGAGTTATATAATAATTGTTATATTTTTTTAAATTAAACTATGAAATATTTTGACAATATAAAAGCCTTTTTAGAGTTTATTGTTATATAAGTAATAAATAAAATTATTGATTTTATTTAACATCTATGGTTCCACACTTGTGTGACTTAAATGAGTTTCTATAATATTTCATCAAACAAGGTTTTATTTAAAAAATGTATTATGGGAAAGCTGATGCAATAATATATGCAATGATGTAATAAATATAAAATACAATGATGACCAATTTTAAATATAATAAATAAAATAAATAAAAATCTTAATTAATAATCAATTGTATATAATACAGAACTGTATCAACTAAAAAAATCTATTCTTAACTTGATGCTGATTTTCTATATGTAAAATAATAATAATAATAATAATAATAATAATAATAATAATAATAATAATAGTAATAACAGCCCAAGAAATGCTTAACAGGTAATACTTCATACTCTGTAAACAACATAATAAATAAAGAATTGTGAAAATAATTAAGATCACTTAATATTAGAAACATGTGCTGAATATAAAATCTTATTGTCTTTCTTGGCTGCACATTTCTAATCAGGTTGTTGTGTTCAAAAGACGAAAAAAATGCTAAAATTTCAGTATTGAAAAACTGGAACAGAAACATAAACAACTGTGGCTTAGGATAGGATAAACACTAATAATATAAAGGTTTACTCAAATACTGCACCATACTATACAGTTTGTACTGTTTGTAAGCAAAAAGAGATTTATAGGAACACAAGACGGTACACAAAATATTTTTGGTTTTGAGTGTAGAAAACTTTTAATAAATACAAAATAGTAGTAAAAAAGATATTGATGTAAACAGTGGTGAAAAAATAAAATCAAGTTTAGAAAATCTTGACTTCCAACCGCATAAAGCTTACTAACAGATGCATTTTAACAGCCCAATATATGCTTTATAACAGCTCAATAAATGCATTCCAAGAGCCCAATAGATGAATTATAACATCTTAAGATGCTTCTAACAATAAAATTAAAGGAAACCACATTTATAATATACATTTGTCCAGAGTGTAAAACATAGGCAGTTAGGTTTGATGATGTTCAGCATCTAGAAAAAAAGAGATGATAAACAAATGAATGTACAGTTAGACTCAAAAAAATAATAAATTAGAAAAAATGAGTTTATCTGAAAGAGCTTATTGTTGCTGTTGTTAAGAAAGATTATGATTATGATGATTGATTGAAAGATTATGATTATGATGATTGATTGAAAGATTATGATTATGATGATTGATTGACAGATTATGGTGCTTTGAATCTGTAGAGCATAAAAAGTGCAGATGATTCAGCATGAAGAGGGTTAGCATGTTCAGGAAAAAAAAGTTTGAGTATAAGCGTAATGAGTATATTAAAAAGCATGTTGAGTATAATAAAAGCATGTTGAATATAATGTTGAATATAAAGAGGATCGATTAAGTAAATAGTGTAGAGGTCAGCACTTTCACGAAAAAAGGTAGAAAACTCAGAGAAAACGTTTTATAGCATCAATAGAAACAACATTATAAGGCCAAATTGTGTAAAATAAAAAATAAGATGTTAAACCAATTATAATGATATTGAACAGGTTTATAGTTTTACAGTTTTATAAATTTTACTGATCTTCTACAAAAAAAATTGCTCTCTTTAGCATAATTATCAATTAATAACACTTTATAAAATACAAACAAAATAATAAAAAAGTTATAATATAACATAATAATAATAACAGTTTCTGAAGTATGATGTTAATGATAAAATTATTTTTAAAATTATTTGTTAGTAATTTTAACTTTACAGATAACAACTTTTGTTTCAGAGTTTTATGTTTTTCAAAAAAACTATTATTTTAAAAAAGATCTCACCAGGGTTTTTCTCCATGATTGTTAACCCAGTTTCTGCTGCCACTGCTAATAACGGTGGTAATGAAGCTGAGAAACAATACCCTTGCCCAGATAAACGCTGAAAAAAATATTATTACAAAATGGTTTTTTTGAATTAAAATTATAATATAGAAATCAAATTCTAACACAATGCACACTAAAATACCAAAATTAATATTATGTATAATATATATATTTGAAGGTGTACTTTCTTATCATTTTTAAATTTCTACTTTTTTTTTTAATAACATAACAATATAACAAAATAACATTATGTAAACGTACTTTATACACCATATTAACACAGACTATTTGTTTTTACTATATATTGATGCATAGTGTATAAACCATTTTCTAATTATCATGGTTATATTACAATTTTAATGAAGCCATTATACCTGGTGATCAACAACAAATGATGAACCAGCGCAAAAACCACCAACTGAACCTAACGATGTTTCTAATGATACTGTAACTAAATCAATTTCGGACAACTAAAACAAAATATTCAAAAATGTTTATATAATTTATTATTACTTTCTTTCATTATTATTACTAATACAAAAATGTTTATATATTTATTATTACTATATTTATTATACTTACAAAAATGTTTATATAATTTATTATTAATAAAATATAATATTAAATAAAATATAATATTAAATATAAACAATAAAGTTAAAAAAAAATGTTTGAACACTAAAGAATAAAAATACTTACAGGTATATTAAAATGATCAGTAACACCTTTACCACGTGCTCCCAAAACACCAAACGAAAATGATTCATCAATAAAAACTCTTACTTTGTACTTGTTTTTGAGTTCTATCTGAAAACAAAAATAAGTAATTCAATAAATGTAGTAAAATTCTGAAATATAATAAGATTAAGTATTTTATACTAGTTTTAATTAAATATTAGTTTTACAAATTTTATACTAATTTTGGTAGAGGAACTATGTCGCCATAATTTGCATATATTCCTTCAACAACCAAAAATCGTCTTGTTACAGCAGCTTTTTTTGGATTCTATAAAAGAAATGTTACTACCACTCATATACTACCACTCAGCTAACAAATGAAAATCTTTTGAGAAAATCCAAATAAAAAAGAAGATAAACAAATTTCAGTAAAACCTTAATATCTTTTTCATGCTGTTCCTTCAGTTTGCGTTCAAGGTCTTCCATATCATTGTGGTCAAACCAGTAAACACGACTTCTGGATGCAACTATTCCTTTTTGTATAGCAAAACTAACTCCTTTGTCACTATTAAAACAAACAGAAAATTTGAATTTATATCTTGATGTTTTTGAAGTTGTTATTGTTAAAACATTCTTTAAATAGAGAAATCAGTTTAAAAGGGGTTTGGGTTTTAGCCACATCTTGCTACTTCGTTTAATCCCATATTTAATTTTATATTGATTAAATTATAATCTAAAAAAATTTACATTTAACATAATTAATACTTAAAAATTTTCAATATATACAATAAATAACAACAATATTAATGACTAATAATACAAACTCTGTAAAACAAAATTTAGAATGATGTTAGTTGATTTATGTTTGGATATCTTTCAGGTTTAACTTCTTTGTTTCTACCCTCGCCCCCTTATCTTTTATTAAAAATTACACAACATTTCATAAAACTTTTTTTGCATTGTTTTTTGCAGCATTTTTATAAATATTGTTATAATTCAAAAAATTTTAAAGTTTTAAAATATACCAAAATATAACATCTGTTCTTTTAGAATAAGCTGGGATTGCACTTGAAACTGTTGAAAAACCATATGAATACAAAATGGCTTCCTCTGTTTCTAGAAAATCAGCGATTTTCTTTTCCAAATTTAGATGCACATCTAAAACACAATAAAAAGAAAAAATAATATTAATAATAATAATAATAATAAAATTAACACATGCGTATCTCAGTGTATAAATTATGAATTTTAAAAAACATGAACGCTCTATTTGGTAAGATAAAAAATAAATCATTAGAGAGATTAAAAATATATACTTTTATCTAAAAAATAAAAGAATAAAACTCTAACTTCTTGGGTTGTTGTCATGAGGATAGAGTCTCAGCAACATTATTTTAATACTTATCTCCATAATAATACTTATTACTAATACTTATTTCCAATAATTATAATTATATCTTACAGCACCAATATACCAGCAGAATCCGTAGCAATAACAAAATTGCAAAATTTAGAAATGAACATTAATCATACTTTATGGATCATCAGTAATATTTTAAGAAAAAAACATTTAAAAAAAAATTTTCCTTTCATGGTAACTAAGTAGTTTTGTAATGTTAAATTTTATATTATTTGCGTAATAACTTTTTTTTTAGTTATTTGTTATTAGTGTTTTTATTTTAGATTATTAATTGACTATTTAAATCACTACTCTCTGAAATGTAATTTTCTTCAATAATGAGCGTGTTATACTATTTATATAAGAACTTGCAAAATTTTACCCATTTATAAAATGATTTTGAATGTAGTTACAACAAGTAGTAAACAACCGAGGTTGATACTTGACCAGGGCCAGGGCTGAGTTTGATAAAATATAGCTGGGGTTGGATAAAACATTTATATATCCTAAAGTATATATTTTTAATTCAAAATTCATGTTATGTTTTGTATATATATGCATATACAAACATCAATTATGATCAACATGATCATCATAATCATCATCATCTTCTCTTTCGGCAAATACTACTCCATAAAAATACTAAAGTTTATATAAATATGAAAGGACATTGTGTGCAAGCATCTAAATAAATAGCAAACATATGTTTAAAAACATAATATGTATGCATAAAGCGCATCTCAGAAGCTTTTATTCCTTCTGGACTAAAAGTTTGGAAGCTTTTATTCCTACTCTTCAATTTTAAGTCAAACCTCATTCTACTCCATGTTTTTCACTATCTTGAGCAGTTGCTTTATTAATCATTTATTTCATCTTTTTTATAAGAACATCTCTCTTAAGAACTAATGTCCTTTTATTATTTCGAGAAGCCAATCTAAAAAGGTTCCATCTGATGTTAAGCTCTTTTATTCTCAGTTTACTAAATCTTGCATCTTATATCAGATGTTAGGTTCTACAGACTTTTGGTTAATCTTCAACAATGTCATTAACTAAAGTCTAACATTTAAACTTCTTAATTATATAATATTTAATAATATTTAATTTTTAAAAAGTGCTAAATAAGTGATTCCAATTTTTCAAAACTCTAGAAAACACTTTATCATATCCATTTATCATACGATTAGTCTTCACTCTGTTATTAGTTGCTTTAAATAAAGGTTTTGAGATTATTAAATTATTTCTTTCTAACTGTAGTATTGAAATAATTTTTGAAGGCCTACACTTTTCTTTATTTCAAGTAACTTTAAGGGTAACATAAGGTTCTATCTTTGCTCTCGAATTGTTTCTAGTCTACAATATCAATCTTCACGAAAATTTAATATCTAAAGTGGCAATTTGTTGACGACTCAACTTTATACTCTTGTCTTGACAAAAATCTTCACTTTTTGATTGTTTAGAACAAACAGCTAATTTTTAATCTGATCTCTCTTCTGTAACAGCCTAAAGCTTGCTGTAGCTTATGAATTTAAATTCTGGACTTAAAATCTGCTATTTTTGTTAGACAACAAAACTCATTTACTGCAAAAAAATATTGCAATAATGAAAGTATTTCTTTACTTCTAACAACCCTTTTACTCTCAGACAAAGTCTAAAAAGCACATTGTAAATGTAATGTGGTCATAGTGTAGTGGTAAAGCCTTTGCATCACATGCAAGAGGTACTGAGTTTGATCCCCACCATGTTCATGGTAGTACCCCGCTCAACTTGTTTCTCTGTGCAGTGGCCTTGGTTGTCAAGGTTCGTGTTTCTGAGTTTTATAGTTGAGAGAGTTATAATCACAATTAAGTAGCTTCCTCCTCTGTAGTAGTGTTTTCAGCCTTGGGGAGGTGAATTATTATTTTAAAAAAAAGATAATAAATTAGACTTGCTTTATCTGCCAAGCTTGAGCCACTCTCGCATTGTTGTAAGGTTGCATTTCTTTCTTTTTTCTATAAATACAATCATAGTCATTACTCAAACAAGCTACCATTTCTATTGCGATAAACCAAAACTCATTCTTGCTTGTTTCTTATTCAAAAAGTTGTATCCTTTTACTGTATCTGTCCTATCATGCTATGAAAACTTTTACTAATCAAGTTTTTTTCCTTGCACATCAAGAAAACCTTATAACTATTAGCCATCTTAATGTTTTTCTTTTATATACAATCTACAACTTTTTAAATCTTCAGTTAACCATTTCTTATTATTTTTACTTATCCTTTATTTAAAGTAATTCATAACTTAATAGTGGTTGTTTGCAATCTTGTTGGAAGTATATTAAAGTTTGAAAATATATAAATATATGCCAGTATTTAATAAATAGTAAATGTAAGCATAAAATTATAATATTTAAAACATTATAAATTTTGTTTTAGCCCCAGTAAACCTTATAGTTTAGCCAGAGCAGGGGCTGAGTTTGAAAAAAGTTTAATTTTAAGCCAAGGCCGGGGCCCTGGTCACTTACTGACAACAGATTATTGTATATAACTATAGGAACTCTTTAGCTTATTTACAATAATCTTGGTACCACAACCAATAATGACCTGTATTTTACAGGTAGTTTATTAATAAATGAAAATATATATTTATATATTTTTTATATAAAAATTGTAACCAAATTAAAAACTAACAACAAAATTATAAAAAAGGGAAATAATAAAAAGTCAAACAAAAACCTATTGTTCCATAAAATCCTCGAGGACCGCAGGTGCCTACACCATACTTATGAAGAGCAGCAATGGATGAATCCTCAGGGAAAAATATTTTATACTCAAAAACTATTTATAACAAGAAATAAAAGTATAAGTGTTAGAAAAAAATAGTAGTAGTAATAATAATAATAACAATAATACTAATAATAAAAATAATAGCTAACAATAAGAATAATAATATTATGATAAACTTTGCAAGAGTTAATAATAAAATACTTCAATCTCATTATTCCCAACAAATCCAAGAAAATTCATAGAACTTAAATTCAAACAGTCTTTTCCATCGACAATAATGCGGTAAGCAGGCTTTCTATGCAAAGAAATAATTATTTCAATAAGAAGTATTTTTATAACACACTTTACTATAGTTTTTTTTTATAAATAAAAATATAATTTTCAGTATTTAAAAAAAAAAAAATTTTTTTAAGAAAATTTTTTTAAAAAACATTTTTAATTTAAAAAAAAAACAATTAAACAAAATTGATAAAAAAAAAAAAAAAAAAAAAAAAAGAAATTACTTAATAAGAATTTGATTTCACTTTTTTTTTCAACCCACTTTAATGATATGATTCATTGTAAAGTAAAGGTATATTAGATTAATAAATGTACTAATTTTTAGAAGACGATTGACAGAAGACTTGAAAAGCTGTAGGTTGTATGAGTCAAGAAAACATGAAGATGGGAAAGAGTTAAAAGGGTTAAAGCACAGGTAAAAAACTAGACAAATAAAAGTTTTTAGAGTATGCAAGGACAGGTACAGTAGAATGAGACTTTGCTGAATGAAGGGTCAAGTGAGAATGAATTTTAGTTGATGGAACTAGAAAAGCAGCGACCATGATAGTATTTGTAGAAAAGAAAATAGATGTAACATTAGAACAATGGGAGAGGGCTCAAGCTTGGGAAATAGAGCGGGTCCAACTACAAAAGTTTTCCACAAGGGGTCTTTGTCATAATGATGATGGTTCATCGACATCGTCCAGCAGGCAGAAAAACAAGATTCAGTCAAGAACTTATTAAATAGTTTAGAGAGAATTGAAAAGAGTTCTGGAGAACACTTTTGTTAAACTATGACAGAAATGTTGTCTCAACTACAAGCCATAAAAGAGTTTAACTGAGATGTGAGTTTAGCAATAGAAGCTAGAATGATTTGAATGTCTAACAAAAGTTTAACCTGTTTAACTGGAATGGATGGAACCATATGGCAATACAATTCAAGAGTCGAATTAGAAGAAAAGTTCTTTGCACACAGTTCAGCCTTTTTCTTTGGAGAGATAATAAGATCAGTCCCATGATTTAAAGATGGAATATCATAGTTATCTTTGTTAATGATGGTCTTGAAGATTATTTAAAAGTCTCTACAGCCTTACTTCTGAGATAAGGTACAAGATTTATTAAACTGGGAATAATGGACCTTAGCATCAGACAACACACCTTTTCACACATTTCTTGCAATAATAATAAGTTGTTCGTTCTCAAGGAGTGTTTTTTTTTTTGAAAAAGATAAAAAAAAATTATAATTAGATTTAGTAGCTGCAAAAAGAGGGGAAAATCATGAAGTAGAATAAAGCTTGGCTTGGAATTGACAAGAAGAAATAAAAGCATACTACTTTGTGTGAATAATAAGAGCCCAGTTCTACAAAGTAGGTTCTATTAAGGTCCGTGTGTTATTTATTCTATCATAATGGTGAAACGCAGATAGCAGTCGGTCTTAGCATGTGTAACGACTCATTCATAGAAAGAGTACGGTATCCCAAGCAATAAGCTATGCAGTTGTCTCAGTCCTGCTAACCTAAAGTAGTAACTTAGATCTCTACAATGTACACTAAAAGCATTACCAGCAAGACCATCCATGCGCAACATGGAACTGTTAATGCTCTGATATTTTACAGCTGTTGATAGAACCAGCCTCTCTGAGAGCTACCACAGATTTTGGGGAAACCTTATTACCAGCCGGCCTAAGAACCATTAAACTGAATTTTAGAGCTGTACTCTCATTAAAAAATTACAGGAAGAGTTGCCACTATTAAATTAAGGAGGAACAAACAAAGATCTATTAAAGTCAAGAAGATCCAGCATTCATTATCCTAGGCAGGAAACAATGTAACACAGTTTAACATCTACACCAGCCTAATAGCTGAAGGGATTTGAGGCCAATCAACAGAATTATTTTGCTTAGCCCTAAAAATAAAATATAAAAGTTAAAACAGAAATAAGTTATAAGTGAAGCTTTTAAAAGTGGCAAATAATAGATACGAATATCAGTAAAAGAAATGTGGAAATTTTAAAACATATAGTTAAAAAAAAAAATGAAAACATTTAATAAAGAAAGGTTTTTTCTTTATTATAAAGAAATGCATTTTTTTTTATTTAAAAATGCACATAGAAGAAAATTTCAAAATCAGCTTTCAAAAAATTTAATTAAAATCAACTAAATTGTTTGACTTATTGCAAAATTAAAGATTGAATATTGTATTGTCATCAAGCAAGAGTATGCAAAATTTGAAGAAAATCTATCATCAGGAAGTGACTCAAAAATTGATTGCAAGATTTGATACTCACAGACAAACAGACGACGAGGATTTATTAGCATAAATAAACCCTTCAATGATAAAAATATAAACAGTGGTGGTTTTGATGTACCAAAACACCTGAGGATTTGGTCATATGTCACTTTTCTGACATATGACCAAATCCTCAGTCTATGTGAAGCTGAGAGACATTATGTAACATTAATTTCACCAAATATTAGGTCAGATTTTGTTTCTAAATGCTGCTTTTAGATAATAAATGGTATTTTTCAGATAATACACGATATCTTTTACAAAGTATTGATATCAGATCAGAACAAACGCCGGAAGCAGTGCTTAAAAAAGTGTAAAAAACCTAAAAGAGATACTTATATTCGTTAAACAAAAAATGACTCAATGTGCCTAATGTGAGAAAATTGTCTTATATTCATTAAAATAAAATTCATTAAAATAATAGTATTTTGTAAAAAATAACAATTCGAACACAAGGACAAAAATACTCCTAATGGCACCAGTGACCTAAGAGGGACTTTTAAAATGGCTTCCGTGACTAAAGGGGACCTATTAAAATACTGCTTTACATCAAATATATCCTATTTGATAAATATATTTTAATTTCATAATACTTTAAAATGCATACATTATATCAATATACAAGTGCATTTATAACATACACACACACACACACAAACACAAATTTAAAAACTAACTTTTTTGTAATTTACAAACCACAATATTTGTCATGCCATGGCTGGAAATAGATGAAATGAAAAAAATAAAATGGACTATAAATAATTTTTTTTTTAATTTTTACATATGAATATACCATTTTCTTTATTACAACTTATATATGAGTTGATAGAAATGGGAAAAGGGGTAGATAGATTTTACAAAAAGTAAAAATTCACAAAAGTAAAAAGCTAAATCAGAAAGTGGGAATCAATCAAAATTTTTTGCATCTATCATAAATTTTGTCCATGCCAGTGAAATCATGAAAATATAAATAAATCAAAAGAAAACAATAAAATATTTATTATATATATATATATATATATATATATATATATATATATATATATATATATATATATATATATATATATATATATTAGGGTGGCCCTTAAAACAACTATTTTGAGAAAAACCTGCTCCCACCCCCTAAATGTGTTTTATCTAATACAAAAACACTAGGTTTAAAATTTTTTGAATAAAAAATTTTTAAGGTGATCCTCAAGACCCTTGAATATTTAATGGGTCCCTAATATTTTCAAAAAAAAGTTTTTCAAAAATATGTCAACCTAGTACTCAAATGAAGCAAAATTATATAAAAATTTCAAAAATTTTATATAATTATTAGAATTATTTCTAATTTATTTTATATAATTATTAGAATTATTTCTAATTTATTTTATATAATTATTAAAATTTTATATAATTATCAAAATTATTTCTAATTTATTTTGAAAAAATTTTAACTTATTTATCAAAATTATTATAAAAAAACATAAAAAATGCATTTTTTTTCATTTTTTGTTAAAAAACTTAATTTTTTAAGTAATAAAACCAAAAAAAACAATTTTTTTCAAAATGAATATTATTTTTTAGGTTTTAATATAATTTTGCTTCATTTGAGTACCAGGTTGACATATTTTTGAAAAACTTTATTTTTGAAAATATTAGGTTTAAAATTTTATTTATAAAAAAATTAAAACACTAGGTTTAAAATTTTTCTGAATAAAAAATATTTTGAGGGGACCCTCAAGATCCTCAAATATTCGTGGGTCTTGAGGGTTAAGAGTAGGAGGGAGGTCTTGAGGGTTAAAAGTAGGTAGGAGCAGGGTCTTGAGGGTTAAAAGTAGGTAGAAGCAGGTTTTTCTCAAAAAAGTTGCTTTAAAGGCCACCCTTAAAGCAATTTTTTGTTGCTGACCTCGTTTTTATGTTTTATGGTAAGACCTTTGTATTAAATTTTTTTTTGCCGACCTGATGCCGACCTCTAAAAGATTGAGGTCCCATTTTGTCTAATTCTGAGGGTTGATATATATTATATAATTAAATAAAGTTTAGAGCCTTTTTATTTTTTGAACATTTTATAAATTTAGAAAAAAGATCGTAAAAAAAAAAAAGCGATTTTTAATTTTTATGTCATATTAGTATAATTGAGTGTTTTAAATAAACCTGAAGTAAAAATATCATTAACAGAAAACTTCAAAGAAATAATATAGTTATTTGTTCCCTTTTTCTACTGGCTGTCTAAGAAATGTCTAAAAAAATTGCAGTTTAAAAATAAAAAACTGTTGTATATTTTAAAAGTTTAGGCCAAATAATAAATGATAAAGCTATTCAGTCTTCTATGTTTAGCTAGCGTTTTCGCACCTAAGTCTTTTTGCGCTTACCCACACGCTCGCAAAAATTTTGGCGAGTGCATAAAAAAGCGCTTGTCAAAAAAATAAAAGTATTTTGTTTTAGATTGCAACAAAACTTTTTTGTTAATTTGTTCAACTTTTATGAAATAAGGCCTTCTTTTACCTGTTCTTTTTAAAATTATTTTATTTAGTATCTATTCAAAACTTTTTTTTGCTACTTTATTTTAATTTAAATAGCAGAAAAAAGAAATTTGACCATCATCCAGCGATTTTTAAACGGAGAATACTGGCTGCTGTTTTCAGCCTTAACATTAATCAGCTACTTTGCTAGCTATGATCCTGCTAATAAGTATTTATAGCAACATTTTTATTCAAACAAACATTAATTATCATAAAAATAAGAAAAAAAAGATACTTAAAAGATACCCGGAAATAAGCTTCGGATTCTGAACATACTCAGGAATAATCAAATCTTTTGGAACAAGAGGCTGAGGCTCCCACTCTGCAATAATTTTATCTTCTTCCTAAAAATTTATAAACAAAAACTAATAACTACTCAACTGCAAACGCTTAAAAAATTAAAAAAATATATATATATCTTTAATCTAAATTAATAAATTAAATAATAAATCTTTAAATTTAGTTGAAAATCTTAAGCTTTAAATCTAAATTAAATTTAAAGTTGTTTTCCTTAGTATAAAAACTGTTTTCATCTTTTTAACTATTCTTAATTTTTTATAATTTCAACACCACAACACCGTATTTCATAATCTTAACACCACAACACCATATTTTATAATCTCAACACCACAACACCATATTTCATAATCTTAACACCACAACACCATATTTTATAATCTCAAGCAAAATCACAACAGATGCTGTGGTGTTGAAAGCAACACTGCGACATCTCAAATAACACCATAACAGATATTGTGATGTTAAGAGCAACACCACAACATCTGTTCTTTTTTTCATCTTTTTTTTATTAATTGAACACCAATTTTAAAACCTGGAGACAATTTAACTCTTTTAATTACATGTAAAAAAACCTTTATAAAAGTAAAAAAATATATACTATTATGTAAAATTATATACTTTATCTTACTTTTAAGCACTACGAAAACCATCAATTTGCTAAAAATATATATCATCAGCTAATTGCAACTTAAAAAAGTAGCAAATAATTGACATGAAGAATGAAATTTCAAAATATATGATAAAAAAAAAAAAATTGTGGAAATTTTAAAGTTTATGATAAAAAAAAAATTGAAAGCATATAGTAAAAGAAAGTATTTCTTTATTATAAAGAAAAACTTTCAAAATTTCTTTCTATCAATACTTTTTACCCTCAAAAAACATTGGCAGTGATGAAAAAATGCATGTGAATTTTAGTTATGAAAATGTCGCACACAAACTTGATAATAACTCACTGGCCAGCACACACTTTTCAAACACTCACAGGTAATTAAAAACAGAGATGTTTGCACTACATAGGTGTACATAACTAAAATTTAAAAGTATTAAATGCATAATAATTAACCTCTTTTGTTAGTTCTAGTCTAGACTCTTTAGGGATGTAGCTTTTTCGTGTGAGTAATCTAACAATCCAAACAAATAACAGTACTTCAAGTATAATATGGTAGAAAGGCACCTAAAAAAAAAAAAAAAAAAAAAAACTAAAATCAAAATTTTAAAACAACAGTATATTTATATTTATAAAACTTTAAGTAACAAAAATTACTTTGAAATTAGAAAGATATTAATTTCATTTTAGGGTTAATTTTTGAGGAAAATAAAACCAGTGTTTATGGTTTAGCTTAGAGATGATAATGCCTTCTATCTGGCTGCCGAATTGGAGGCAAAATTTTTGCTGTCCGATAGATTTAGCAGTTGAATTTTATGCGCATGGATTACCTAAAGCTACATTTTCGAAGTGCTTGCCACTTTGACTTGTTTTAATCTAAGTTATTTAACAACAGAATTAAAAAGTTACAAAAAAAATTAAAAACAAAGTTGAGAAAAGATGTCACAGGTTGGTAAATACCTATTTATAAGGCTTAAAGCTTTTCCTCATCTAGCCTGATTATAAACTTTAATTTCTTGCTTAAAGTAAAAAATATGTAAAAGCTAGTAATCTGCCTTAAATACTTTTATAGTTTTATATTTCACTTGAATGATAGTATATCATCTAGGACATATGTGATTGATAGTAAATATCTTTAAATACTATTGTTTTAAAAAGATTTGAGACAAAACTAAAAAAATTATCTTAACTATAAAAAAATTTAAAAAAAAACTTATCGTAAAAGAAGCAAATAAATCTTGTTAAGATAAAAAAAAAAATAAAAAAATAACTTAACTAAAAAAGCAGAAATAAAATTAAAACTTAACTAAATTAAATAATAAACTATAGCGATAAGATTATCCAAATTACATTTGGAATAAATAACTTTAAACCGTTTACCTTTACTAATGCTTTTTAAATATAATTATGTGAATTATGCGAAACGCTTTTTAAATAAAGTAACAACTAACAACTGACAATTGTTTAATAAACGCGCACATTTAAAAGTTTAAAAAAAGATTCTTAATTCTTTGCACTAAAGAAAAAATAATTAAATCGTTTATTTAAAATTTTGATTTAATTTTTCTTTATTTAAAAACATTTATAATAAAAAATAAACACTTTTAAAAAAATATATGTTTTTATATAAAATCATTAGCAGTGACTTGTTACTTTATTCAAATTCAATAAAATAAAAACATAAGTAAAGATCGAAGTTAGTTAAATCAAACGGCTTTCGAAAAAGTTTTTTTTTTTTTCTCAACAAAAAAATTCAATGATTCTTGTATGAAGTTTATAAGAGACCTTCGCTTATTAAAGTCTAATTTTTTTTAATAACTTTTACTTTTTTTATTTTTACTGATAAAAAAATCTTAAATAATTAAATAATATAAATAAAGAAATATACAACTTTCAATGATAATTAAAATCTTTATTTAAAAGCGTTTAGCTAATATAAAAACGTTAGTAAAGATAAACACGTCAAATTTATTTTCAACGTAATTAAAATACCATTTTTTTAGTGCATTTGTTAAAAGCCGTGGTTAAATCATCATAGCAAAATGCGTGGTCATATAAAGACTTGAAATCGCACACCTTCCTGGCCAAGCCTATTTATGTATACATTTTCATTCACCATAGGATTATAATACATATGTATTATTATCTATGTACTATTATCCTATTCATATAGTGAATTAACTCTTTCAGTACGGCCAAAAATAACAATTTTTCAAGAAGTCTTACAAAAACATAAATATCTTTAAAAGTAAAAGCCTTAAGTATATGATGTTATACATCATTAAAAAGCTTATAAAATTATGAACAAATCTATTCAAAAAATTTTTAACATAATAGTGTTAAAATAAAATATATATATATATATGAATATATATATATATATATATATATATATATATATATACATATATATGTATATATTTATAGTTATCCGACCGGATATCGAATACTCAGATATTTAAAAATTATCCAGCCGGATACTGATAATGTTATTTAACTTTAAGATAAATATTAAATTAAGACAAAAGTTACTGTAATAACCTTTCAAAATGGCGAGTTTTGTATGGAAACTTTTTAAAATTAGTGATAGCTGTGATTCCATTGCTATTTGCATTCCATGTGGAAAGCAGATAAGCAGGGGGTGTAGTAAATCTGGTCAGCAGTCATTTTCTACAACTCCGCTGCATAATCATGAAAAAAAATTTCATTGCAAATTGTACGAAGAGGAAAAAAATTATAAAATGGAATGTTCTTCAGCTACTCAAGGAAGTTCAAAATCTAGTTCATTGGTTTCAAAGAAGAAATGCAAAAAGAGATGTCTGTTGAAGATAGTTTTACATCAAAGAAGATATGGGATATTAATGATGAAAAGTCTAAGCAAATTCATAGAAAAATTGCTATTATGATTGCTTTAGATAATCAACCATTTAGTATAACCAAGGATGATGGATTTATTGGTTTAATGGCTTTTTTACAACCAAGATACCTAATCCCAAGTAGGCATTATTTTTTGGAGACAGCAATTCCTCTATTATATGATCAAATTTAAAAAAAGGTTTTTAATGAAATTGCTAAGTCACAGTACATAAGTTTTACTTCAGATATTTGGACTTGTCCGACATCTCATGAAACATTTATTTCCTTATCAGGACATTAGATTAAAAAAAATTTTGAGCACAAAGGTGCTGTACTCTATGCTTCACATTTTCCAGAAGCTCACACAGGGATAAACATAGCTGGAAAATTTATAAATATGTTAGAAAGCTGGGAAATTAATGCACCAAGAAGACATATTTTATTCAAAGATAGTGCTGCTAATATGTCACTAGGCAGTAAACTTATTCAAATATCATCAGTCCATTGCGCAATCCACTTATTGCAACTTGTGATAAAGGATGCAGTTTTATCCCAAATATTAGTGATAGATTTATTAGCTAAAGCACGTCAAATAGTAGGCCACTTTAATCATTCATCAAAGGCATGTACAGAATTTAAGTTACTGCAACAACAACAAAATGAAAACACACCTCTACTTTTGGTTCAAGATGTGCCTACTCGCTGGGATAGTGCGTACTTAATGTTAGAGCGACTTCAAAAACTTAAAAGAGCAGTTCAAATGTATTTAGCTGATCATAATGAATTGCCAACATTTGCATCAAACGATTGGAAACTCATTGAAAATTTATTATATGTTTTAAAGCCTTTTTATGAACTTACTAATGCTATGAGTTCTGAAATTTGTAGTTTATCAACAGTAGTTCCAAATATATGTACTTTACAAAGATTTTTATCAAAAACTGATCAAAAAGATGATGCAGTTCAAATAACAAAACAACTTATAAAACCTTTAAATAAGAGATTCTTTTCTCATGATAATCTCAATATAACAGATTAACAGATGATGAAAGATATGTTTTACCCACCATTATTGATCCTCGCTACAAGCTCAAATTTCTTCCTGTTGATAAGAGAGCACAAGCAAGATCAATGCTATTAGATGCTGTAGTAAAAAATCAAAGAAATATAACTGGACTTTCACCAGTTGTTATTAATAGAGCTACCAGCTCCATCGCCACCATCTCCAATCATTTAATGCCAAATTCCAAAAAAAAAAAAGTTGATTTGGAAGAGAATGACTTTAACTCCTGCTTTTTAGAACTTGCAGAGTATGAAGGAAATTTAGGTAAGAAGATCTCTTTCTGTTTATTAAAAAAGTTTTTTAATAATTTTAAAAACTTTTTTGATAAACAGAAAAACTTTTAATTAAGTTTTTATTTTTAATATTAGCTATATTCTGCATGTTGTTGGTTTGCTGATTTAAGTACTATATACATTTTATTGAATAAAAATGTATAAATAAATAATCTTTAGTATTTAAATTGTTTTATATTACAGAACAAAAAAGTGAAACAAATCCTGATCAAGTCTCGCTTGTAAAAGCTGCTCAAGAAGTTGATTTTTTCTTTAATCACTCGATTATAGAAAAAAAAGAAGACGTTTTTAATTACTGGAAACATGAAGAGAAGTTTCCAATTCTAAAAGAGTTAGCTCTTAAATTATTAGCATCTCCAGCATCCTCTGTATTTTTGGAGCAATTGTTTTCCGAATATGGAAATATTTTCGAGAAAAAGCAATCGAGGCTGTTACCTCAAAGTGGAGAAATGTTACTATTTATTCATCATAATGGAAATAAATTTATAAATGAGTGATAAACTGATGTGTTTGTTGCGTTTAAGTTTAATAGTATTTGAATAATAAATTATTATTAATAATAATAACAATTTTGAATAGAAACCATTAACATTAGAATATTTAAAAATATAACATTTCTTGGTTTATTAAATCTTTAAATTTCAACTTGAAATATCCGGTTTATCGAAAATCGGATGTTATTATCCGGTCAGATAACGGATATCAAATAATATTGATATCCGGCCCAGATAGCTTATCCGGGACACCTCTAATTAGGGCCTATTCTAGAAAAATAATTTTGGCAGCAGTACTCCCCCCCCCTCCTATCAAAATTAATTGAAAAATCAGCATTTTTTCTCAAAAAAATACAAGATTTACCGTAAAAAATGTAAAAAAAAAAAGAAAAAAAATCCTCAAATGGTCTCAATTAGCCCCTTCATATATATATATATATATATATATATATATATATATATATATATATATATATATATATATATATATATATACACACACTTACTAAAGCGTGTTTTGATAAGCATTTGCTCACTTTTTCTGCTTACCTTGAGCTATACCATTTTTTTCGAAAAAGAAGAAGAAAAAACAAAGATAGATGAATGAAAAGATTGCTTCCCCATCCCAAACCCTCAGTTGATGTAGCAGCACTCCACTGCGAGTCAGGCTATTTGTCAGTTGATGTATGTACTGAAGCACCCAGCAGCAGGCTATTTCAGTATGACGTCAAATTACATACCTTACTAAATAGTACGCAATACTACTTATATATATATATATATATATATATATATATACATATATATATATATATATATATATATATATATATATATATATATATACATATATATATATAT